TCATGAGGTGTCCAAAGTATTGGAGCCTCAGCCTCAGGATCTGTCCTTCCAGTGAGCACTCAGGGCTGATTTCCTTAAGAATGGATAGGTTTGATCTTCTTGCAGTCCATGGGACTCTCAAGAGTCTCCTGTAGCACCGTAATTCAAAAGCATCAATTCTTCAGCGATCAGCCTTCTTTATGGTCCAGCTCTCACTTCCTGTCAAGTTAGATGGTTTCAAAAGGGTGTTGGACAAATTGATGGAGAATGATGCTATCAGTTGCTACTTGCCATGAAAGACCACCCCCTTCCCTACAGCAGCGGGGGCCATTTTGGTAGGTCCTTCACCCTCAGAGGCTCAGGGGGCTGGCTGCCTGGGAGATGAAATTCTCTGTGGCTGGCCCTAAGTAATGGAGCACCCTCCCCACATCTGGCAGCTTCCTTATGTCTTCAGTATTCTCCAGAAGATGTGTATCTCTTTACCCACTTGGCACCTGAGGTGTATATTTTTAGGACCCACCTGAATTTTGTGATTGTGACTTGTTTTAAATTGTATTTTTAAATACTGTGTTCTAACATTGCAACCCTCCATGGGACCTTTGGGAGAAGGGCAGGTAATTAATAGTGGTGGTAGTGGTGGTGATGTTACCTCCAGAGCACCCAGCGTGTCTCTGAATATGTCCCTGGGGAGCAACAACAGGAGAGGGCTTTCATACTCAGGTCTTGCTTGTGAGCTTCCCATAGGCATCTGGTTGGTCACTGCAGGGAACAGAATGCTAGACTCAATAGAACTTAGGTCTGAGTCAGCAGGACTGCTCTTATGTTCTTCTTCTTATTATTAATTATTGAATTTATATACTGCCCTATACCTGAAGGTCTCAGGGTGGTTTACATGTTCTTAGCTGGAGTACACAACATAAAAATTCTGCATGCAATCCCTGCCCCCATGCAATATTTTACCATGTGTAACTCATGCAATCAAGGGGAGAGTGGTCCACCTGAGCTGAGCTTTGGTTTGCCTGTGGCATTTGCATTCCAATAGAATTTTTTTTAAAAGAAAAAAACAACCCCCAATCATATTATTCTTTGCAGGTTCTGGTTTTCACATCTGATATGCACAGCCTTGACTATATGCCAATGAAATAGTTTCATTGTGTCTCCATTGCCTGGTTTCAATGCTGGAAGAAAGTGAGGCAAACATTGAACGCTGGGTTCCTTTCTTGCGTCATTTTTCAGAGTGGGTCCTTCAACTCTGCAGTATGTTAGGGATATGTCCTCCCCCCCCACTCCCCCTCTCTCTCTTCTGCACAATAGCAGCCGTTGGTATCCATTTTCGATTGGCTAGCAGTTCCGATATGCTTTCTGTTGGCCCCCATTCTGCCTCCTAAGGGGAAGAAGTAGTTGTATGTCATGACACACCTTAAATTGTAAGAAAGCAGTTTATGTTCACAACAAGTGGCTTTCTCGGGGAATTTGAGTCAAGAGAGTGACCTGCTGCTGCGTGGTTTACATTGCTTTAAATATACAGAGAAGCTCTTTTAAATTCATTTGCAAATGAACTGATAGGAATTTCTATAGCCTGCCTGCTCCCTATTTCCTTTATGCCTTTTTTTGTTTGCAGGGGTCTTTCTGCCAGTGTGTGTGTGTGTGTGTGTGTGTGTGTGTGTAGAAAAACATGCCAACTGGTTTTACAACTGTTAAAAATAAATAAACTCCCCCTCCTCCTTTTCTAAAGGGCCTCCTGGTGGTCCCGATAACCCAGAGGAAGGAAGAAAAAGAAAATGATCGTGACCATAGCTTATGCTGTTTGGGGATGTGGGGAATCCGGATACCATGGAAATAGCAATTGTGCTCAGTGTAGTTTTACATGATTCACATATAAATGAAGAGCATTTCAAATGGGAGGAACTTAATGAGCCACAGAAAATAGTGTGCATGCTGAAATCAGCTTAACTTTGATTAAAGGTGGCATATTGCCACAAATGATGGCGATAAAAACAGGGAGAGATATTGGGAAGTGAAAGGCATGGTCCTGGGTGAGGGGAATAACTACTCAGACCCCTGGTGTGGGGCAAAACCTTTGTATATCTGCTTGTTTTTCTGTTGGTCAAACCAACATATTGTTACATGTCACCCTAATCTCCGAGTTGGGAGAGATTCCAGGGGTTCCAGGTTTGGCTTCCTTGGAATGAAGGTCAGCAGAGACTGGGGTGTGTCTTTAGGATGTGTGGTTTTGTTTACACATGCAATCATACCCTGAAAGTCGAACGGACTCCATTCTGGAAGTCCATTCGACTTCCAAAACGTTCAGAAACCAAAGCACAGCTTCTGAATGGCTGCAGGAAGCTCCTGCGGCCAATCGGAAGCCCTGTCAGACATTCGGCTTTCAAAAATAGTTCACAAACCGGAACTCTCACTTCTAGGTTTGCTGCATTTGGGAGGCAAAAAGTTCAAGAACTAAGCTGTTCAAAAACCAAAGTACGACTGTATATACAAGCTGAGTATAAGATGTGGGGCTCACAGCATTTAACACCCTGAAAACTTTGCTTCTCCATTAGTTGCAGCTTTGGATCTAGCACAGAACAAGCATGTCTCTAGCTTTCACACACTTCTCTGGCTATAGTTCTCCTACCTAGCAGCTAGGTGGGGTGGCGGAAAGGCCCACCCAGTTGCTCTACCGCACAGAGCAACTTTTTTGGCTATGCTAATCATGGTGCTTAACTAATTGTGGTGTTCATCCAAGCCATTTCCTAGCCAACCTTGCTCTTATGCATTCTACCACCCACAGGTACATGATCCCAAGAACTGGAAGGGACTCAGGGGATCATCTGGAGTAACCCTCCTGCCACAACTTGTAGCATCATGCTTTCATGGCTCCCCTCCACTTCTTTGTGTGTTAAGAAGTTCCAAGGTAATACTATCCATTGTTCTTGACCGTAGGCAGCCACCCGAAAATGGCATCTTCCTGAAAAGTTCTCTGTTCTCTTGCTCATCACATTTCCCCACCTTGATCCAAGTGCTGGAGAAGAACTGTAGCTCAGTGGCAGTGCAGGACATCCCAAGTTCAATCCCCAGCAGATAGGGGGATTGTCTGAAGCCCTGGAAAGGTGCAGTCCATACGTACACTGCTGGCTAGGGTAGATAATATTGAACCAGGCGGACTGATCGTCTGACTTTTAGAAGACAGCTTCCTAAATCTTACCTTGTCTCCCATTGCCATTCAATATAATTGCCTGGCAAAGAAACATCACATGCAATGAAGAAGGACTAAATGCTATCGGTGATGAGAGGAAAGAAGGCCTCAGCATATTGCTGTGTGATGTGTCATCCAAACCTGGTGGGGAGCTCCCTGGGAGGACAGAGTATCAGAGAACTGTTGTGCTTTGCAGTTTCTGTTTACTTAAAAATATGCAAGTGCTACATTGGGGGGAAAGTGGCTGCATAAATACCTAGACTTTTGAAATGCCTCTGTTTCCTCAAAGATAGACACTATGCCTGTATCGCACACGCACCCTGCAAGCACAACTGTCTCTTCCAGATGCAAAAGCCCTACCTCTTTCTCCTTCACTCATCACATTCAAATAACTCAAAGGGTGGTACTCAACTCACTGAAAGTAATCGTCTCACTGAAAGTAATTGACCTAATTCTGTCATGTTCATCCATTTCAGTGGGTCTACTCCTGAGTAAAACCTAGCTGAATAGCGCCCAAAGTTTTGTGCTTCAGCTTTCATCTTAGCATGAGGTCCAGCGCCGAGGGCCTTCTGGCGGTTCCCTCACTGCGAGAAGCAAAGCTACAGGGAACCAGGCAGAGGACCTTCTCGGTAGTGGCGCCCGCCCTGTGGAACACCCTCCCATCAGATGTCAAGGAAATAAACAACTATCTGACTTTTAGAAGACATCTGAAGGCAGCCCTGTTCAGGGAAGTTTTTAATGTGTGACATTTTAATGTATTTTTAATTTTTGTTGGAAGCTGCCCAGAGTGGCTGGGGAGACCCAACCAGATGGGCGGAGTACAAATAATAAATTATTATTATATTATTATTATCTAATTAGCTGTTAGCCACCAGCCATCAACGTTCATGTAAGCAAGCACCTTCTAGCCATCAGTGGCTACGCAGGGTACATATTTGGAGGAAAAGGTCATTTGCTATCTTTGCATGTTGTAAGCATATGAAGATTTCAAACTTTTAACGTGTTCAGGTTGTAGTCCTAGCGCCACTTTACCTGGGTGTAAGTCCCACTGAATTCAATAGGGTTTAGTTCTGAGTAGGATTGCATAAAGATGTCTAATTCCACTCCCCCACCCGACGGCATAGTATTCCTCATCCATTCGATGAGGAATATGACCCACAGTGAAAGGAAAGCCTAGAAAATCCTGGTAGATTATTCAATATCTGTATTTATGCCAAACATATTTCAAAATGTATGCTAAAAAGCAAAACATTGCATTGCTTCAGATAACTATGTGCATTAAGGCTGAATGCTAATTTTAGGTCTTCAGAACTCTGCTGCGCTTGAAGATTTGAATCTAGTCATCTTAGTAATGCTGCACCAAAAAAAACCACCCCACATTTTTCTTCTTCTATCAAACCATTATCTATCAATGAATGAAAAAAGAAAGAAATTAAATTCTAAAATTTGCAAAGGGAAACAAAAAAATAGGATAATTTCTCTTGGGTGGTGTGCCAGGTTTTTTGTTGCACTGGCCTTACTCCTGTGGTGGCAGAGGGGTGTTTGTGAGTGCCCTCATTTTCATTCTATAAATCATCTCTCTACATCCTTGATGGTCCCACTTAATGAAAAGTCCTGACACTTCCTCAGCTAAGGTTGCCTGTAGAGGTTGCTTGCCACGTACCCAACAGCTGTTGATTAGTAAAGTCTTCTTTGCTTTTTAAAGAAATCACAGTGGTAACCTTTTTGTTTTTAAAACAAAGGACTTCACTTTAAAAAAAAGAAGTTTCCCTGGCTTCCCATCCCTCAGTTAAAGCTTAGAGAATGATATCATGAGACATAACCTACTGGATAGCTAGCTGGTAAGAGCATGGTGCTGATAATGCCAAGGTTGCAGGTTCAATCCCTATTATATATACAGTGGTACCACAGGTTACAAACGCTTTAGGTTACAAAGTCCGCTAACCCGGAAGTAGTTGCTCCGGGTTGCAAACTTTGCCCCAGGATGAGCATGGAAATTGTGCACTGGCAGCAGCAGGAGGCCCCATTAGCACAAGCGTGCCTCAGGTTAAGAATGGTTTCAGGTTAAGAACGGACCTCTGGAACGAATTAAGTTTGTAACCTTAGGTACCACTATATATATATATATATATATCTTGCCGTATATTTTTTTCTCACCACGGAGACTGACTTCCAGGTCGGAAGAGTGACAGAAATAGCATGTGTGCACTGAGACGTCTGCCGGGGAGTGGACCGGACCGGCCTCAGAAAACGCTGCTGACCCCTGGATTAGATTATCCTCAGGGTCCTTTCCAATTCTATGATTCTAACTCCTCCAGGGGTTTGTTTTATTTTATTTTAATTTATTTTCTTCCATTTATGGTCAACCTTTTTCCCCGTCATGGGATCCAATGTGGTGTAGTGGTTAGAGTGCTGGACCTGGGAGACCAACGTTCAAATCCCCATTCCTCCCTGAAGCTCACTGGGTGATTTTGGACCAGTCACTGTCTTTTAGCTGAACCTACCTCACAGGGTAGGGACGCGGGTGGCACTGTGGTCTAAACCACTGAGCCTAGGGCTTGCTGATCAGAAGGTCAGCGGTTCGAATCCCCACGACGAGGTGAGCTCCTGTTACTCGGTCCCTGCTCCTGCCAACCTAGCAGTTCGAAAGCACATCAAAGTGCAAGTAGATAAATAGGTACCGCTCTGGCGGGAAGGTAAACAGAGTTTCCATGCACTGCTCTGGTTTGCCAGAAGCGGCTTAGTCATGCTGGCCACATGACCCAGAAGCTGTACGCAGGCTCCCTCGGCCAATAAAGCGAGATGAGCGCCGCAACCCCAGAGTCGGTCACGACTGGACCTAATGGTCAGGGGTCCCTTTACCTTTACATTACCTCACAGGGTTGCTGCAAGGATCAAATGGAGAGGCAGGGAAACCATGCCTGCTGCCACCTTGAGCTCCTTGGAGGAAATCTGATAAATAAAGACCTGCGGTTCCCATCTGAGCACTGATCGGTTCCCATCCCAAGCAGTTTCCCATCTGAGCACTGATGAGACCCAGGGCTGCTTATATTCCTATATCTTCAAACTATACCTCCAACCAGCTCCGGAGGCTGCAGAGAGCTGGGGATGTTCTTAATGGAAAATAACACACACGCACACACAACCCTTGGCCATCTCATACCGCTAATGAAAGCTGAACCCTGCACCCATCCTTTTTTTAAAAAAGAAAAATAAAATCTAAATCACCGTGCAAATGAGGCAGAAAAACAAAGGCCACTTTCTCAGGGGAAGAAAGCTTCTAAAAAATTGAAGGGCGAAGCACAGAGTAGTCCTACTTCTTAATGCGTGGGTAGATGAACTAAGGTCTTCTGAAATCTGTCTACCGGATATAGCGCCAACCTATCCAGCTATCTTCTTAGGTTTAGCGAAGTTTAATTAACACTCCGCTGAGAGTTGAACTTTGATATAATTTAGCAATTGAGGCTCATTTTAGGCTCATTTTAATTAGCTGGCAAGAAGCGGTTTGTTCCACAAAGTGCATAGGTTCGCAGCCAATGATAGTTTTAGTTAGTTAAGATTTACTTGCTACTCTATCCTGAGGGCTCAGGCTGGATTACAGCTAAGTGAAAATTAGCGCTGAGCTAAAACTACTCACTGCGTCATATTCATGATCGCAAGCTGGAAAGATCCTTCAGTTCTCAGAAGTTTAGCAAGTTCATTTTTAAAATGTTAGCATTGCTTTGGTGCTGCTCAGCACCCTTTTATTACTCTGCCTGCTGCCACTTCTTGATGCCCCTTTCTATGCCCTCACTGCCCCTGGGCCTTGCTTGCCTTCACTGCCAATAATGTCATGATTCTATGCAGTGACATCATGGGTAGCCATAAGTAGAATATTGTGGGTTGTTACAACCTGTAAAACAGCAATGAAGGGAAAGAAGAAAGCGATGAGAAAAGGTGGTTAGAATGTGTTGGACCATAACAACAATGTTAGTGTTTGGCAAAGTGATTTTTTTATAATAATAATAAAAAAATAGTCCAGCTGCATCACATAAACTACCGTATTTTTCGCCCCATAGGACGCACTTTTTCCCCTCCAAAAATGAAGGGGAAATGTGTGTGCGTCCTATGGGGCGAATGCAGGCTTTTGCTGAAGTCTGGAGAGCGAGAGGGGTCAGTGCGCACCGACCCCCCTCGCTCTCCAGGCTTCAGGAAGCTCTGCGCAACCCTCGGGAGACCGCGGGAGTTCCTGCCAGGCTCCCACGGCTTGCACAGAGCTGCCTGCACCCCGAAGCCCAGGCACGCTGAGCAGTCGCTCCTGGGCTTCGGGTAGCTCTGCGCAAACTGCGGGAGCCCTCCCACGGCTTGCGCAGAGCTGCCTCTTATCCCAAAGCCTGGGCGCGCTGAGCAGTCACGCCGGGGCTTCGGGTAGCTCTTCGCAAGCCGTGGGAGGGCTCCCACGGCTTGCGGAGAGCAACCTGTTCTGGGTGCTGGGGTCGGGGGAAGCCCTAGCTTCCCCTGCCCCAGCCCCGCGCCTGGGGGGGGGGGAATAAAAAAAATTCTTTATTTCCACCCCAAAAAACCAGGTGCATCCTATGGGCCGGTGCGCCCTATGGGGCGAAAAATACGGTAATTTTGAAGCAACACTGGAATTTGGAAAACGATTGATCCCAAAATGTCCCTAGTTTCCCCGCCAGTGCCAAACTTGGGGAAGAGGATGAGCCAGCGCTTGTCCCAAGCGATGACGATGGTAGCTGCAGAGACTGTGAGGGAGTCTCCTCCCTTGGGAGGGGCAGGGGAGGAGGAGAGGCTGCCGCTGCCAAGGCCCAGCCCCACATGACACACTGGCTCTAAGGGGCAGGCAAGGCCAGGGCCGTCTTAAGCATATCCGGCGCCGTGGTGTAAAGATCCCTCCAGCGCCCCCCCCCCTTTCCCAGTGTTGTTGACCTTTTTACAAGCCTCTGCGGGGATCGCTTTCCTCCCGCGAAGGCTTGGGAGGCAAGCTTCACACCCGCCAGCCATATAGTTGGTGAGGCGCAGCTTCCATCCTAAGCCTCTGCAGGGATTACTCTCCTCCCGCGGAGGCTTGGGAGGCAAGCTGCACGCCCGCCAGCCATATGATTGATGGGGCACAGCTGGCAGGCATGCAGGGAAAGGGGAAGCCACTGGCAAAGCCACGCAGCTCTCCCACTCTCTGGGGTGCCCCTGAGAGGCCAGCGCCCTGGTGCAACGTGCCAGTTAACCCAATAGAAAGACGGCTCTGGGCAAGGCCACCCTGGGTGGGAAGAAAGGGGGAGCAGGGCACAAGGAGTTTTTTTTTATTTTAAAAAAATGTTTTGTGCATCCACATATAATTTTGCCCCTTTCTAAAATTTATTTATTGGTGTGTGCTTTTCTTTTTGTAAATCTACCAAAGAATAAAATTGGGATTAAGGAGTTTTCTCAGGGCAGGGGAGGGTATGTGTGCTGGGTCCCATGGGTGTAGCAGTGGTGACACTCAACTTTCTTCTGATAGGGAATTCTCTATGGGGGGGGCATGGACACACACAAAAATGGTGGGTGGAGGAGGACCAGTTGTGGGGCAAAGTGAGAAATACTCCTATTTTCATCTGAGGAATGTTGAAGGATATGGCAGTGCGGTTTAACAATCCAGGTATGACCAACCCTTCCTAGTAGGAAAAAAACCACCAGATTGTTTCAAGTAAATCTTGTATTCTAATGCAAAAGAATGAAAAGTTGAGAATACATGGTAGGTGATTGGCTAGACAGAATAGTATTATTGGATTCCATCAAACTATAAACCTACCACTTTCTCAATACCATTTATTTATTTATTTATTTATTTATTTATTTATTTAAAAAAATAAAACCTCTCCCAAGCTTGCCTTATACTATCTTGGAAATGTTCTGTGAACTTCTCCAAAGAGTAGGACTCAGTCAGTCCATTGGTCCATCTATCACAGTGTATATCAAAGAGGTTCATGACAGCTACACATAAAACCTCGCAATAAAAACCATGTAAGAAAGTCAAAATTGGAAATCAGATATTATGAAAGATGCATTCTTAATTACCTGATAGAATAGACAGTTTTTCAGAAGGGGTTTTAAAGTTGAAACAGAAGGCACCTGCCGAATTTCTATGTTTTGGGGGTTTTGGATGGTAATATGAAGATTGCAGTCTCCATTTCCAACCATCCCAATAGGCACCAAATCAATGTTCTTGCATGAACATCTAAGGGTTAGCAGCTGCCCCATTGTTCGGCTGAGGTTCATTCTTCCTATTTCAGGAGCAGAGTAGAAAGACAAGGCAGAACAACATTTCTCAGTTATCCTTTCCCAGTCTCTATAAATAGCACATGTAACACCCTTTTCCACTCACACGATAAAAATAATTTTCTCTGTTCATTTGCAAGTCCTATGCCCCCTCCCCCTGATCTCACAGGCAATTTGCCGACCTTCCATTTATTGTGTGATTATTAAAACCAACACTCAAACTGGCGAATATTTGGGGGAAGTGTAAATTTCTTTAGAGAGGCAAGTTAGTTAGCCGTAAAATGCATTGTGACGATTCTGTGAAACTAATTGCTTTTGTAACTTTTGCCTCTGTTCCTAACATTTTGCCCCTTCCATCAACACAATACTAGTATATTGAATCACTCCAACAGTGAACTACGCTAAAACTGGTATTAGCCTCTCTCTCTTTTTAATTTAAAAAGGTAGGGCAATATCATGCAATTGGAACCGACAATGAGACATTGCAATGTATCTTTAGTTTCAAGGTGCTCCTCTTCAAGGTTTCTTCCTTCCAACCAGCCATGCCCTCATCCAGCTACTTACTCTTAAATGGAAGCCCAGGATGGGCATTCCACTCCAAGCTTTTTTTCTGTTCCACCCTGGATCCATAGTATGTGACACTGTGACTGTTCCACTGCAATTCGCCTTCCACACAAAACTATGCTAGTCATCTCACTGCCTACTGGTTTGAATGTATGTAACCTACATGATTAAGTGCATAAGTGACCTTGTTGCGTTTTTCTACTCCATTCATTTCAGTGCAACGGAAACACAATGCCAATGGACAAAGAAAGGTCATCAGTTACATACTGTTTGCAGACAGAAAGCAACAGCAACCAATCACATTCACTGAATTGATTTCCATTCCAGGCATGGGATGACTAAGCAAACAACAAACCTGAAATGCAATGCCATACAGTGGTACCTCAGGTTACATAGGCTTCAGGTTACATACGCTTCAGGTTACAGACTCCGCTAACCCAGAAATAGTGCTTCAGGTTAAGAACTTTGTTTCAGTATGAGCACAGAAATCGTGCTCCGGCGGTGCGTGGCAGCAGGAGGCCCCATTAGCTAAAGTGGTGCTTCAGGTTAAGAACAGTTTCAGGTTAAGAACGGACCTCCAGAATGAATTAAGTACTTAACCCGAGGTACCACTGTAGTTTGGAATTCACTGTTATGTATTTGTGAATTTTAAGTTGACCTGATATGAGAAATGTATTGCACATCTATCACACATTGACTGCTGCTGTAGGTTGGCAGTCAAATGCTGTTGGCTGCAAGTGAGATTTGAGGAAGTCTTGAGCCCTAGACCTGGACATGAGTGCTAATAGTGCCTGTATTCAGCAAAACAGGAGCAAGGATCCTGGTTATGCTGTAAAGACCCACCTTGATGTCAAGGTGGGAGCTGGGAGCTGGTCAGCAATAACTCACATGTCAGTAAAGTGAACTCTTTATTCCAAGGAACAAAAGAGCTCAGGCTTAGTGAGCACAACAACTCTTCCCAGTAGGCTTTGCCACAAAATCTTCCTGCTCCCCAGGACTATGTTTCTCCACCCCTGACCTAGGATGCTAGGCTTGGGGGTGGAACTCAACAGCTAAAACAACAGTAATTCAACCAATTTTTCTTCATTTGAAAAGATGGAAATACTTACTTTCGTGATCAGCATTGCAGCATTGTTTATTTTTATTATGAGCACATTTTAAAACAACAGTTGCCCATTCAGTGGAATCAGCTTGCATTGAAGTGATCTGTGTGATCAGGGATAGGATGACGGGGACAAGCCATGCATCCAATCTATGCATTAATCAACTGTGCTATGAATGCAGTCAGCAAAATGGTATTCAGTAGAGGGGCACTGAGGATGCTCCTCACCTGGGGCACTCTTTGGTCCAGGGCCAGCACTGAGGGCACCTGTACACGTGGATACTGTTTTCTCTAGTTCAGGATACCTGAGGTCAGTAGAAAGCACTGCTCTGATATCCACATACAATAAGGGCAAAGTGATAGATTTCTATAATTTATACCAAAGGTGGCCCATAAAGGGCTACAGTAGAACATCGCTGTTCTTGTGTGTCTGAAAAAAACTCTGTCAAGCTGATGCCTTCTGGATGTTTTTGGACTACAGCTCCAGAACATCTGAAGGGCAGCACATTGGAGAAAGTGGCAAATCACATATAGTCCATGGTCTTTCACAAAGTTAGGAAGTTCTTGGCTTACATTCAGAGACTGGTTCAGGCCTGATAACAAATCAACGGTCCTGTTCTCCTTACTTTACCTCTAGCTGGAAGAACTATTGTAAATCCCATTTGGGCCTTCCTGGCAGCAGTGGTTTTTCAGCACAGGGTCTGCAAGGTCATTAAGAAAGTTACATTCAAGCAGAAATTCATTGATGTACAAATGACTAAAACAATAACCCCACAAATCATCCGATTTCTGCCAACACCCTCAAGGCAACACTGTTCAGTTTTGCCGAATCAGTGACTGCACTCATGGTATCATCTCGGCTGAGACTCTTCTGAAATCACTGATAAAAGTTGAAATCCAGGCAAAAAGCTCTTCTGAGTCTCGATCTTCTGCTTCCCCAAATTTCATCTGCAAGATAATAACAATAATAATGACTAGCTGTTTAATGTTATTCACATATGAGCCATGTAAAGATTATTGTGGATTGGAAAGATCAGGCAAGAGTGACGAGCTGAAATATAGCCTGCTTCCTCTATGTCAGCGTAGGATTTGTCACAATGAAGGCCCAGGAAGCAAAATGGCACTTAAACTGTGTTGGAAGGTTCTGTTACAAAAAGCCAAACCCAAATGGTTTACAAGCAGAATTTATTGCTGGAAGCACCTTGAATACAAATGGTATAAGGATGGCAACTGATGGCAAGAAGGTCAAGATAAGCAGATCCACCACATTGCAGAAATGCTATTCCATCCTCTGTGTTCTCTCCTGCATTTCCCACATGTATCTTAAAGTGAGAATCAGGCCTCTTTATGATCAAAATATACAGGGCCCAACACACTTAAACAAGGACAATTGCCTCTACATTTCTAAGATGTCATGTACTGATTCCTTATTGATACATATTGTTGCATGCCACACAAATCTCCAAGCAAGTGTGAGATTCCAGGGGTCCCAGGCGCTCACCCAGGGTTTGTGTTTCCTTTTGGAAATGAGGCACAGTGGTGACTGTGGTGTCTATATGATATATGGTTTATTTACACATATATACAACCTGAGCCTATGTGGTGAAATTTTTCATAGCAGAACAGTTAGGGCCAGAGGCACCAGCTTGTGAGGGTGATTGTGGGAGGATGTGTGCATGATGTCACAAAGTTGTGTATGTGAGCATCGCACCTCCTTCCCAAGCTGGGCAAGAGCTTCCGAGGCTTTGGGAACAAAGTGCCAGGGAAACATTTAGGGGACTGGCCTAGTCCTCCTGGTTCACTGACCACACACCATTGTATAGGTCATTTTGGTCACTGTTTCACAATGATGGAACTCCCTTCTCCTGAGAGGAACCCTAATTTGAGCCCAGGCATCATTTGAAAGAATACTAGATTTTAAAAATTATTTCCACCACTATTTGGGATTAAGTGTTAAATAGAGTAATGGGCAGTTATCTTATTTCACTTGCACAACAAAAATTAAAAGCAAGGATTTACTCTTGAATTACACCTGCAATATATAATCTTTGAGAAATTCTAAATCACATCAAATTCCTTTTCGATTATCATTCCAGTAATTCAGAAAGAGGATACTATTATTGAATATATAAGCACACCTGTATCCTCAATGCATTCCCTAATTAAAATCAGGATAGTTAACTTGTCAACTTCATCTGTTTCTCACAGTTTGTTCAACCAATCCACTGCCCTAAGTGAGAAAATCACATTAACATTTTTAAGCTATTTGGATAAAGAACAATTTGGCCAGAGTTAACAAGTTAGCCATTAAATCCATACTTGGAATTTGCCCAGTTCTTGGATGCAGCATAAGGAAAAGCTATCTCTGTCTGTCGTTGGTTACATCTACAACATTCTATATACCTTAACCTGCAATTTCTGCCCCAAGCATTTAGGATAAGAAAAGGGAGGTGGAAAGAAATATTGCCATCTTTTTCCTGGTGGAGGCTCTGTGCTTTTCACAATTGCGCTTAATATATGCATTTTTTAAAACATTACTTGGCGAACTGCATAGCAAAATTCAGATGAGTGCATATTTTGAAAGGTAGCTATGTCACATAATTTTTTTTTTATTTTTTTTTTGGAAAGTGAGAATTTAATAGATTCTGCTTCAGATGAAATCAAATTTCTCCTTCATACCGAGTTGGAACCTCACTACTTATCCCTCATCAAATAACCATACAGCATTGCTTAAAAAGCAAACTCACACTATGGAATTTGTTCCTTTCCTGTTTAAGCGAAGTTGCATTATGGCCCATCATCAATTGCACAGAATGGTTTCAGCAAAGTCTCCTTATCCTTTGTTCTGATGGCCAATTGATTATTCATTTGCTCTGTTTCTCTTTATTTTGGCGTATCAATAAAACGCATAATCTGACAACAGACTCTTACAGGGACCCAAAGCAAAGAGTCACAAATCATTCCAAATCTAATTCACTCACCAATCAAGTAAACTTCCTCTATCAGTGACTAATCAATAGCTCTCACAATGAGCTCCTAATTGCACCTCTGGGGTGATGGAAGCCTGTAGATGATAACACAGCCCACGAAAGGCTGTAGTGAAGAAAAGATACTATTTCTACAGCTAACGACCAAACATCTAGAAGGTGTTGATCTCCAGCAGGGTAAATTGAAGGCAATCCTACGCGAATCAGATGTTAATCCCATCATATCTACTTATGATGAAGCACGCACGCATACCCCAAAAATGGGGAGTAACAAGTGCAGCAACCAATAGATTTATCTACACTGTTGATAATGCAGTTGCTACCAATAGCTGTGGGATACTCTTAGGAGTATTGACAGGCTTGGGAACTCTGTTTGCTATAGATGTTCAGCGGAAAGAGTAGCACATCCAACCAATGCATGTGCTTGCTTGGCTGCTTGTTTTATAAACAGTCCCTTATGAGCATCCTATCAATAATAATTAATAATTTTATTATTTATGCCCTGCCCATCTGGTTGTGTTTCCACAGCCACTCAGAACAAAATGTTCAAATCCAAGAAGCAAAACAAACAAACAAAAATCTGAGCATTAAAAAATTGAAGGGAGGTGGAGAAAAATTGTGCAAGACAATTTAGACAAACCCCATCCAGATTTTGTTTATAATGCTAGTTGCTTAAAATGTGAATTTGTTTAATTAAAAAAAGTAGTCATTAGTCACCAAAATGACCACCAGGTAATTCTGTTCTGGGAAGGCTGTTCCATAGCCAGAAGAGACCAACCTCAAAGGCTGTAACATAGTAGTCTGTAGTTGCACAGTTTAATTCAAAAGCTATAGTAATGATATGGCTTGAAGCTCCTGAACAGCTGCTGTGTCAGTGTTCTGCAACAGATTTTTAAGCACCCATTTGAAATGGGTGGAAAATCACAGCCTCCAGGTAGAATCCAACAAAGATTAGCCATAACTCATAGTGCAGACTTAGGCACAGCTACTCAGAAGTAAACCTCAGTGAGACTCAATGGAAATACAACCCACTAGTGATGCGAAGGGGTTGGATCAGCCTGACTGATACTTCCTGAACCAATAAACAAACTGAAACACACCTAACATTTGAAATTCACAGTTCTCCGAATTTTGTGAAGAAGGTCTCCATTATTTGAGTGAAAACAATGTGATCATTCAAGAACGTTGCTTGCAAATATGCGCATAGTAAGAAAAATGCACTTAAAAAGCAAATAATTTGTGTGTGAGAGAGAATTTTTAAAATAATCTGATGCAGAAATGAGGGGGAAATGAAACAGAGAGAAACTGAAATCAACAGATCCATCCAACTTTGCATTCTTTTGACTTTCATAGCATTGGCTTCCTATCAAGCATGCACAAGATTGCAGCCTTAAGGTAAGGTTTCCAGATTTTTTTCAATGAATCCGGGGACAAGTTGTGGTTTTTGGGGGAGTTTTTTGGAGCTGAGTAGCAACAGGGAGTCAGTAGTGGGGATGGTGTGGCAAAAGACCCTGGGCCCAAGCACACATGCATATTGTATAAAGGTGCAAAGCCCTTCTTTCGCACCCTGTGAAGCATAAATGCACAGAGTTTTTTTAAAAACTGGGCAACAGCCGCCCACCTGCGACTCCTGAGCCTACCCTGATCTGTCCAAACAAAGGGGGCAGGAGATCAGGGGAGGCTCGCGAGTCGCAGGTGGGCAGCGCGCCGTAGCCTAGTTTTTTAAAACCTGCACATTTATTTTTCACAGGGTGTGAAAGAACTGCTTTGCACCTTGCCTGGCAGAAAAACTGCACACAAGACACATCATACGGGGACTTCCGGAGAGAAAAAATGGCGGGTGCCACAGCAGAGAGCAGCTCCCGAAGCCAGCCAGAGCCAACTGCGCTACCAGGCTGGCTCCGGGCTGCTGAGGCTGCCGCTACCATGTTTCCCGGTGACTGATTTGCAAATCTGGGGACATTCTGGAGACAGAATTTGTCCGGGGACAGATGTGCAAATCCGGGGACTGTCCCCAGGAACTGGGGATGTCTGGTAACCCTACCTTAAGGTGCAGAGCAGAAAGAGCTTGCTGAGTAAGGCAGAGACCCTGCAGTAGCTTCCTGGAAGGTGAATTATTGATACTTACTATGAGGAGGATGGGTGAGGCATCAGGGAGTCTGGCGTGGTGCAAATGCACCAGCCGAACCAATCCAACACTCCTACCAGTGCACTATGCTGATGTCCACACCATGGTCCCCTTTTCCTCTCAGTAAACAACAGTGACCCACCGTCCAGGAAGCTGGCAAAACAGCTCCGCTCCCTCTAGGAAGCTGCTTCTGGTGCAGAGCATATTCAATGTTATTTGCAGATGAGAATGTGTATGTAGAGAGGTGATTGCTTCTCAGTTTTACATAAAACATTACAGAAAGGGATGGTGAGGCCCCTCAAGCATTTGGGAGCATCATCTGAACAGGAGCAGAAGATTAAAGCAATGCTGGACCCAGAAAAATGCAATTAGTGAGGTTTTACTGAAAATAACCTTTTCATAAGAATATGTCAAGGTCTTTTTCAGTGTCTCTCTTGTCTTTTATTTTAAAAAGTGTAGCTACACAGTGGCATAGCAAATTAGGTTTGAGAGTTATCATTTGTGATCCAAGGCTGCATCCTCAGTACATGTGATGTGGGGAAAGGCATGGAGATACATGGAGTGTAGAAAAAGCTTTAGTGTAAGCAGTTGCCTTTCACATCATCAGAGAACCCACACAAGGGAGAAAACATTTAAATGCACGCAGTGTGGAAAGAGCTTCAGTGTAAGCAGTCAACTTACTTTACATCGAAGAACCCATGCAGCGAGAAAACCATATAAATGAACAGAGTTTCAGGAGAGCTTTCGTGGGAGCTGAAACCTTACCCAACATTAAAAACCACAGATGGGCGAATTCGCCTAAACACGAGGAGTTGCTGTGGTCCAAGAGGTGGCTTTGGGTCATAGTCCCAGGAGGTAACCACCTCTCGGGAAAACTCTTGCCCCAGTGGGCTCCCCAGAGCAAAACATTTTGAACCAGGATAGTCTTTTCTTGGCAGGATGCCCAGGAAAGGAGGAGGAGTTTGCAGGTACTAGGGAGAGACTGGGGGAGGGGGTAATGAGATCCACCTGCTCTCCCACCTTTCATAACCTTTGTTCCCTTACTGAGAAGAGCAATCCCAACCAGATAAGTCTCTGAAGGACATGGAGCATAGCCTCTGATGGGGACTTTTTCCAGTCTGAAGACCACAGGGCCTTATGTGAAGGTTTCCAGGGGCCACATAACAGTGGTGGGCAGAGGCAGAGGCAAATGTGGGTGGGGCAACAAATGTGAATCTTACAGTAGGCTAATTATTACAAATACTCTCACAGCCCTCTCTGTCCTCCATCTAAACAAGCAAGAAACATTACTGGAGCTCAAGGAGATGTTCCAGCCAGGCAACACTCAAGGAGTCAACTAGAGAGGCCTGGAAAGCTATGTTTGATCTCCAAGCACCAAGGATTGAATTGTGCTTGGGAACTTTGGCTCACAGTCTAAATAGTCAAGCACCATGGAGGTTATCAAGGGCCTGGTGAAATCTAGCCATCTCAGGCTGGCTCAGATGTCTACAGAAGAAAGTAAGAGCCATGAACATCCATGATGGGTGTGATCTGAGGCAGGGTTCACCAGATCCTAGCCTTGGAACCTCTTCCCAAGAACATCAGAGTTCATCCTTGGGCTGCATGGAGTGGTAATAAAGAAGAGAGCATATTTAGAGCACCTTTTTCTTCTTTATGGAATAACTAGCATCCACCCTGCAAGCTCGTCATCCATACTCCACTGACAAACAGAGCAGAAAGAAGAAGAGGAGGAGTTTAGATTTGATATCCCGCTTTATCACTACCCGAAGGAGTCTCAAAGCGGCTGACATTCTCCTTTCCCTTCCTCCCTCACAGCAAACACTCTGTGAGGTGAGTGGGGTTGAGAAATTTCAGAGAAGTGTGACTAGCCCAAGGTCACCCAGCAGCTGCATGTGGAGGAGTGGGGAAGTGAACCCGGTTCACCAGATTACGAGTCTACCACTCTTAACCACTACACCACACTGGCTTTGGCGCTTTGCTGCAGCAGCTCTCACATTGCTAAAGGCAACATCCAAAGTGGCCTCACCCCAGTCATTGCCACTGCGAGAACATGAACTTGAAACATAAAGTAGGTACAGCATGTTCAGTCAAGATGTGCAGAGAGAGTGCAATGCGTTGAGATTTACCGCAGCTGGAAAATTGTGGAGAATTGTCTTACATCCTTCTTCTTGCATACTACTTTGCATTAGCCATGCATTCATCATATTTTTTTTAATTGGATTCATCACCCGTGAAAGGAAATTCAGAGATAATAAGTGTTGATGCAAAGAGTCTCTTCATTCAGGAAATGCATTAGGAATCTCCATACAATAAAGGTTTTTGTCTGTGTCACTTAGTGTTATTTGCTAGAAGTCCCTGTTACTTTAATTAAGTATTATTTATTTATTTTGAAAAAGCACTGAGACACGGTAAGGTAAACTGTGCAAGTTGATTAAATGAACAGCAGCAATCTGATTTAAAACATAGATGGTGCATTCCTAAGCATAGTTAGTGGAACAGAAGAAATGCCTCCTATATGCAATGAGATTTACTCCCATGTAACACATGTATGCAGGACTGCTGCCTTCAATAAGTACCTAATCCTTTTTTTTTCATTTTTATTAGTTTCGATTCATTATACAACACCAAACATTAAAACAACAAAAAAGACAGACAAAACACACACAAAAACAGCAAAAAGAAGAAAAACATTGCATAACATAAGACACCAAAAAATTAAACTTACAGTAACTAAACAACTAAATCACACAATAATTGACTTCCCTTCAACTCGGTTTCGGAATATGTTACAAGAAGTTTTCTATCTGCAGTTTCGTTTTCTTAAAACTCTTTACGTCGCAAGCATTATATCGAGCCTACTGTGATTTTTAGGTTTTTTACATCTATTTCAATATACGTTATAAATTTATTCCATTCATTATTAAACTTTGTACCTTTTTGGTTTCTTATTTTCTGTGTCATTTTTGCCAGTTCTATATAATCAAATAATTTAGATTGCCACTCGTTTATAGTTGGGATTTTTGATGTCTTCCAATTTTGTGCTATTAGAGTTCTAGCAGCCACTGTTGCATATTGGAAAAGTGTTTGGTCTTCCTTTTTAATTTCTTCTCCAATTATCCCCAGAAGGAAGGCCTCGGGTTTTTTTGTGAAGGTATATTTAAATATCTTTTTTAGCTTATTGTAAATAGATTCCCAAAACTTTCTAATTACCTCGCACGACCACCACATGTGATAAAAATTGCATTCCTTAATCTTGCATTTCCAGCATAATGCACGTGGGCAAAAAAAATGAGAGGCACAAATACAAGATGGGTGACACCTGGCTTGAGAGCAGTACATGTGAAAAGGATCTAGGAGTCTTGGTTGACCACAAACTTGACATGAGCCAACAGTGTGACGCGGCAGCTAGAAAGCCAATGCAATTCTGGGCTGCATCAATAGGAGTATAGCATCTAGATCAAGGGAAGTAATAGTGCCACTGTATTCTGCTCTGGTCAGACCTCACCTGGAGTACTGTGTCCAGTTCTGGGCACCACAGTTCAAGAAGGACACTGACAAACTGGAACGTGTCCAGAGGAGGGCAACCAAAATGGTCAAAGGCCTGGAAACGATGCCTTATGAGGAACGGCTAAGGGAGCTGGGCATGTTTAGCCTGGAGAAGAGGAGGTTAAGGGGTGATATGATAGCCATGTTCAAATCTATAAAAGGATGTCACATAGAGGAGGGAGAAAGGTTGTTTTCTGCTGCTCCAGAGAAGCGGACACGGAGCAATGGATCCAAACTACAAGAAAGAAGATTCCACCTAAACATTAGGAAGAACTTCCTGACAGTGAGAGCTGTTCGACAGTGGAATTTGCTGCCAAGGAGTGTGGTGGAGTCTCCTTCTTTGGAGGTCTTTAAGCAGAGGCTTGACAACCATATGTCAGGAGTGCTCTGATGGTGTTTCCTGCTTGGCAGGGGGTTGGACTCGATGGCCCTTGTGGTCTCTTCCAACTCTATGATTCTATGATTCTATGATTCTATGATTCTATAATTTGTCTCCGGTTTTGTACATTTTTTCTAATTTTACGGGCGTGATGTACCACCTGTACATCATTTTCTCCATGTTCTCTCTAAGTGTTGTACATGCCGAGAATTTCATACCTTTATTCCAGAGTTTCTTCCACTTATCAAACTCTATGTTGTATCCAAAGTCTAACGCCCATTTCACCATTACCTCCTTTATTTCTTCATCTTTGGTGTCCCATTCAAGCAATTGGCTGTACATTTTTGATAGGAGTTTTGATTTGTTTTCTAATATTTCTACCTGGAATCTGGATTTTTTTCCGTTCATCCCATTCTTTTTATCGTCAGTCCACATAGCATTAATTTGGTGAAATTGGATCCAACCTGTCAGTTTATTCTTTATCTCTTCATATGGCCTAATCTTCCATCCATTTTCTGTTTTTACTAGCAGATCTTCATAAGTTCATCTTTTTCCTTCAATGTTTGGTTTTTGTTGTTGTTAAAATATCGATTGGTGATAACCACCAATGGGTATTTTTTTCCAATAATTTTTTGTTTCTCTCCCATACTTCCAACAGTGGCCCTCTAATAATATGATTATAAAATCCTTTGTGGACCTTTTCCTTATTGCGCCACAAATAGGCATGCCAACCAAATCTTATATTGAATCCTTCTAAATCTAACAGATCAGTGTTTTTGATGACAATCCAATCTTTAACCCAGCAAAGGCACGAGGCTTCATAATACAGCTTCAAATTTGGAACCGCAAATCCTCCCCTATCTCTTTGATCTGTGAGTAATTTGAATCTAATTCTTGGCCTTTTCCCTTGCCAAATAAATTTAGATAGTACTTTCTGCCAATCTTTAAATACTGAGGTTCCCCTGATTATCAGTATATTTTGAAATAAGAACAGCAATTTCGGTAATAAACTTATCTTAATTGCCGCCATTCTCCCCGACCAAGAGAGTTTTAATCTGTTCCAAGTATCCAGGTCCTTCCTTATTTCTTTCCATGTGTTTATGTAGTTGTCTTCCATTAAATTTATATTCTTCATCGTTAGCCAAATTCCGAGGTATTTTACTTTTTTAGTTGCTTTGATCCCAGTCTGTAATTCAAGATGGTTTTTTACCTCTTCTTTCATATTTTTAGTCATCATTTTAGTTTTTGTTCTGTTTAATTTAAAGCCGGATAGTAAGTACCTAAGTCCAATGCACATTTACTCGAAAGTGCACTGTTCTCAAGAGCTCGCTCCCTAGAATGGGTGTTTAAGAATGCAGCCTAAACGCTGCACTATGAATCGTATTTGTCAAAGGTGATATTTCTCTGCATTTCTAGAGGTCACTGTTGATAAGAAAACAGCTTATTTGACACTTATATTTTAAAATAAAACGTACCAGTATGTTATGATAGGCCTTTTTCATTTCTTGACAGCTTCTAAATAACTGAGAAAGGTCGCCTTCATATGCCTGAATCAAATCCTGAAACATAAAGCACAATCTGGAATGAGTGTCACATTAAAGTCTAATGCGACCTCAAAGCCACTTACAAACATCAATAAAAAAAGATCACAAACACTGGGTTGAAGGGAGTCAAACTTGAATGTTCAGAATTCACACACACATGCAGGCATCCTCCACTCCTTTAACTTCTCCATCATAGTGGTGGGGTGAGAGGAAGGCTTAAGCAAGGAGTGAAGAACCTCAGGCCATCCTGCAGACCTTCCCTGTCAGGATTCTTCTCAGGCCATGCCCTTCTTCAATCCACACTCCTCACCAGGTGTGCTCTGCAGCCTCCTTCAATGCTTTTGCCTGGCTTGAAGGTGCCCATGAGCTGAGAGAATGCTTCTTGCTCACCTGAATGGAGAAATGTGAGTGTGGCCTCCGTGTGGAAGGAATGTAAGGTAAAGGTAAAGGGACCCGGGACCATTAGGTCCAGTCGTGACCGACTCTGGGGTTGCAGCACTCATCTCGCTTTATTGGCTGAGGGAGCCGGCGTACAGCTTCCGGGTCATGTGGCCAGCATGACTAAACCGCTTCTGGCGAACCAGAGCAGCTCACAGAAATGCCGTTTACCTTCCCGCCGGAGCGGTACCTATTTACCTACTTGCACTTTGACGTGCTTTCATACTGCTAAGTTGGCAGGAGCAGGGACCGAGCAACGGGAGCTCACCCCGTCGCAGGGATTCAAACTGCCGACCTTCTGATTGGCAAGTCCTAGGCTCTGTGGTTTAACCCACAACGCCACCCGCGTCCCTGGAAGGAATGTAGCCTACCATAAAAGATGCAGCTTTCCATTTTTGCCACTGGCCCCAGCTCCTGGAAGGTTGCCCACAAGGGAATCTAGTCTTCACACTGTAAAGGGTCCCCCACTCAGGTTTAAACAAACTATCCATCACACAGCAGCAAGTTGAGAGGAGTTCAAATATCTAATCTCATACCAGCACTAGGAAGGGGCACAAGCCCACCATGTTATCTGCTAACAACCCTAACCAGAGGTCCAGCTCCGAGGGCCTTCTGGCTGTTCCCTAACTGCGAAAAGTGAAGTTACAGGGAAGCAGGCAGAGGGCCTTCTCGGTAGTGACGCCCACCCTGTGGAATGCTCTCTCATCAGATGTCAAGGAAATAAACAACTATCTGACTTTTAGAAGACATTTGAAGGCAGCTCTCTTTAGGGATGTTTTTAATGTTTGATAGTTTATCATGTTTTTAATATTCTGTTGAGAGTCACCCAGGGTGGCTGGGGAAAGCCAGCCAGATGGGTAGGGTATAAATATCATCATCATCATCATCATCATAACAACCACATCTGCTTGGAAGTAAGTTCTATTCTATTCAATGAGGCTTGCTCCCAGGTAAGTGGTACTAGGATTGCAGCCATAGTATTTTAATTTTTAAAAAAACATTGTTATGCTGTGTATCTTTCTTCTCTGTATTCATTTGATGATGATGATGATGATGATGATATTTATTTTAGCAAATTGACACATGCTAGCCAGCTGCTTATCTCACCATGGTAGAAGTATGAACTGGGCTGTAAATAGATAATAAATTCAATTCCAGTAATAACCCTCTGAAACGCTATTCCTCAAGGTCAGAGAACCCTCTGCTGTGGCATTCAAAGAAATGCATATGGCTATAGCTAGAGGAGAAATTGGCAACACACAATCACATAGACATGAGTCTGTGGCATACGCAGAGGATTATTGATCAAGACTGACAATTGGCTTGGCTATACCAAATTACATGACGGGTCATCTTCAGATCCTGGACAAAGAAGGAAAATGCTCCACTGCAGTGATGTCTTGGATGGTGGGCTTAGAGGAACATAAACTTTAAGCAATAGCAGTAACATGTTCTCCTGGAGCAATAGGGTAATTGACAGCATCTCCTTGCTCTGGCAAGTAATGGTGAGGCTTTCAAGCTTTCTTCTTATGTGTGACAACTTGAAGCTAGTCATAGGATGAGGAAAATAGCCAAACAGAGATTGGATACTTATTTCCTTCTCTTTAACGTTTATGCTACGTCATGCTAGGAGTTGTAGCCATGCAACTTTCTAGAACAGGAATCTACAACATGTAACATGAATGGCGTCAAACTGACATGGATCGTGACCAGTCAGATGGCCCCTCTGTGCAGAGAGTCCCAGGCAGGGACAAAATCCAAGAGGTTTGCTGAGTGCATGGTGGGCCGCCAAATATCACTAGTGGACATCCCTGAGTCTGTGGTCTAGATCTTGCTTGGTTTTTTCATTTTTTGGGTGACTTGCCGACAAGTTTCTGTGAACGAGGAGTGGGGAATACTTTGCAATCCCCCATGGGGAATTTTCTGGGGGACACAGACCATGGAGGATGCAAAGCCAGAGGCAAAAATGGTCAGCTCTGTGGATGTGACCCATACCTACATACAGCAGGACACATTTCAGCCATGCAAATCTGTCCATGCTTCTTTATCCTCCATCTAAGCAAGCAAAATGCATTATCTCAGTTCAGTTATTCATTCATTCCAGAAAGCAAATGTACTGTGAGAAGTGTGACTTGGAAAGAGGGTGGGTGGTCCAGGAAGAGTTGCAAGGGGCTGTAGGGCCACATTCAATATTTCCCCATTCTTGTCATAAACCCTTCTTTCCCTGCATCCAAAAAACCCCTTCACATCTGATCTCTGAAATTCTGCATGGTATATACCCATTTAAACATAATCCTGACCACAATTACCTTCAGCTCTTTGTAGAACTGTGACTCCACAGCTCCTGCCTTGATAACATTGGGTTTGATTAGTCTTCTGCACTCAGCAATGCTGTCTAATTCTTTCCGTAAAACTAATCACAAAACAGAGAAGAAGAAAATGAGGCGTTTTGCCTATCACACTGCTCTGACTTTATTCATTCTGTTTGTTTCAGGAGCTGATACTTTGCATGCACTCACCAATCAATCAATCAGTCAATCAATCAGAGAAGAATGATAGCTTAATGCGAACCTTTAAGCATGTCCTTTGAGCATATGGTCCTTCTCCCTGCAATATCCTATTCAACACTTGAAGACAGTAGCCATCAAAATGGGAAAAGGACTGTCCATAGTGGGCTTCTCATAACATGCATAGTATACCTTCTGTACAACACAATAAAGTAGGCTACTGGCTTTCCCCCAAATCATTGCTTTTTCTTCTTGATCTTTTCCACCCCACCCCAGTTTGAAGTTCTCTGACAGTTTTATGCCTTTGGTTACTTGCAAGCATCTGATCAATATCTCACTGCAATCAGTCAACTGGAGTCTTCCCATCAAACCTTACGGTTTTTCAATTTGGTTTGAAATTCTCTTTCATAGCTCTCCCAACTTCTATCTTGCATTTGGCCAGCAAATTTGGTCCCTTTTCAACTGGGATTGGATATAAGCACTGGGACCAAATACATATTCAAAAATATGAAACACAGAAATCCTTGCACTTCCAAAAATACTTTTTGAAAAGTCAAAGTCCAAAGAAGCTGGAATTAAAAAGGAATTAGTAAGGAAAATTTGGATATGTATAGGGATCATTAAACTAACATTCAGAGACATCCAAACAAGGCAGCTGGAATGTGTGAATGGAATCCAATAATACAGATTATTATAAAGGAATTTGATATATTGCTGATACAATAATAGATTATATGTTGGTATACGTTATAGGAAGTTTATAGTTAAGGTAAAAGTACTGTAATTGTATATTTGATTCTCGGCATCTGACAGGATGCATTTTTGGAAATGGTAAATTATTTTGTTGGTTGGTTAATTAACTAATCTTTCTTGCATGTAATACATTTTGTAAGATACACACACACGCCTCTTTGAATTCTTTCTGACTGTTCCATCTTCAAAGGTTTTGGGGCTCTGAAATCTAAACTAAAGTTGGTAGTAGATCTTTCTGAGTGGAATTTTGAGGACAATCATAAAGTTACATAGGAAGGTGCCTTATGCCAGCCAGTCAGACAGTTTCTCCATCTGGAGAAGTACGATTTACTCTGACGGGCAAAGTATTTTGGCAGCAGTACCCTGGAGATTTGAACCTGGGATATTATGCACGCAAAGCAGGTGCTCTATTACTGAGCAATGGAAAATAAAGACCGTGCTTCCTTCAACCTCCACAGTAGGCCTCCTGCAGGGATAGGCACTACTTGGGTGCCTTCTTCAGAATGAGACCAGAGAGATTTTCTGTAAGGACATAAGAAGAGCCCTCTGTTGGAGGCACCATCTGGTCCAGCATCCTGTTTTCAACAGCAGCCAACAAGATGTCTCAGGAACTTTCCTTGCATCCTTGGCCAACACTAGCATCTCTTCCTTACATGCCTAGCAGAGAGCACTGGAGCCAGGATGGGGACACATTACCTGTTAGTCCAGGGGACAGGACAGATCTGGGAAGATTTGCTGCACATTTCCATTATCTCAATGCCTAACTCAAAGTTTTGATTTAAATTACTTCCCGAGTCTTTGTTTCTCAAACACAATAAGTTTCTTCTGCCTCCCATACCTCTTCTAAAGGCCAATGGAGCACTGGTTTAAGGCAAAATGAAATTGACTTCTCTATGCGCAATTTGCAAACTTCATGGCCATTACTTAGATATTTCTCCTCAAATTCCCTTGCAGAGACATGACAGGTTAAAATATTGCCATGGCAACCACCCCCCTCAGTAGTTTGAATGTGTTTTTTATTATTACTAAAGAATCAAACAAACCCAAAAAGCTCTTCTCTTTGAGACCTATAAGCTCAACACGATGGAACCCAGTTCCAGGTGACTTCACAATGTGTGAAAAATGCTTTCGGTGAATTCTGAAACCATATTTACATACCTTCAACTTCAGCACTGAGACCTTTGATGGAAGCTGTGGCAAAGCAGAAAAGAAGTCAGATGGTGAACCCAGATAAGTATCACACATATCTAATATGGAAATGGGTGTTTTGAGAAAAGCAACATTTGCAAGAAAGGAGGAAAGGGAAACAATCCTCTTACCAGCAGAAACAGCTTTAAATTCTGTCAACTCCTGAGAAAATGTAGCCAAATCAGGCTCATGTAAGAAGATCTGTTCCACAAGGGCATGGAGCAAGGTGAAATTCCTCTCCTTCCCTCGTAGCAATGATAACTACAAACAGAAGACAGCAATGTAATTGACAGGCTTGCCTAGATTTGGGGTGTCTTATTTTCAAAAATGGAGGCAGCGGGGAAATGTTATAGCTCCAAGGAAAATTTAATAAGAGCAGAAAAGTGGGGTTAAGATTTCTTTAAGCTTCTATCCAACCTAACAGGATTCAGAGGTCTTTCTGCAAAGGGCCTGTACTACCTTTCTCACTGCATCCTCATGAAGGATGTTGTGAATTCAGTGGTACCTCAGGTTACAAACATGTTAGGTAGTACCTCAGGTTAAGAACTTTGCCCCAGGATGAGAACAGAAATCGCGCGGCGGCAGCAGGAGGTCCCATTAGCTAAAGTGGTACCTCAGGTTAAGAATGGTTTCAGGTTAAGAATGGACCTCCGGAACGAATTTAGTTCGTAACCAGAGGTACCATTGTAGGATTTGCCAGAAGGAGGTGTACAAGGCCCCATCCAACCACCTTAGGGACTCCAATCTGGATTTGTATGTAGGGTTTACTTCTTAGTCTTTTCTTCTCCTGAAGATGTTCCACAAGGCAGCAGAGGCTTAGGATCAGATTTTCCTTCTCCTAGATGGGCTTCCTTCCCAGGTTGGCAAGCCCCACCTGTCCCTTACTTCCCTCTACAGCATGTGCAGAAACCACCATCTTGGCCATTGGTCTTGTCCGCTCAATCTGCCAGAGCCAGTCTTCAGATACAAGGGAAGTCCCTAATGCATAGACAGTTTGAGATCCAATGGCTACCCTTACCTGTTTTAGTTGGCCAGCTGAAGCCATTCCCAGGGTATGACCACTGTTGAGTGCTCAGAGCTGAGTTCAGGATGGGGACCAAAGGTGGGTGAACTACCTCAGAAGGAGCATGATGTGTCCCCCACCAGAGGTGTCCCCCACCACTACCCAACACCACTACCCAACACCTCTAGTTCTGCTTTCCCTGGGAAGACATCAGTGAGGCCAAGAGAGGAGTCTTGTCTTCTGGGCAGCCCAGGACCTCCATACACCCTGCCCAGGCTTGTGTCCTGGGGAGGTCAGTTTGGTGCTGCTAATGCAGTGGATTGACTTTACCCCTGGAGGTGCACTCCATTGTCTCTTGAGATAGACAGGTGTCAACAATGCCATTTAGGAACTAAAGCTGAGAAATACTACCATAGCTAAGAACCAGCCTGGCTACTGCAATGTTCTTCAGAGACCCTTCAGTGATTTCTCTTGCCTTCAGAAGTGAGGTAGGTGGTGATCTCGGACAGGGCCTTCTCCATTGTGACACCCATGTCTGACATACCTTTCCCAGGGAAGCTTGCCATGAGCAGTATTCTACTAACTCAGCTCAAGACTTTTCACTTTCATAATGGGACTCCCCCCTGTCTCCTCACCCGACTTGTGTCCTCCCCAAACCCACTCCAGGAGGTTAGGGAAACCCTTAAATTTAGGGGGCACAGGAGGAGGGGGGAACATCGCATTGTGAAATGCTTCCACTGACAGAAACAGAGACTTAGCACCACATTGGATTCTATGCCTGGTGTTGACATTGATGTATTTTTGGTGCCAAATGAAGACCTTTTTATTTGACTTATAAATTTTGTTTTTGGGTTCTGCTTTAGCATTGCCTCTGTTTTAAAGTTTATTTTACACTACTCTGCTATTTTGGGCTTTTTTGGGGATGTTCTTATCACTTTTGAGCTGCTCTGAGAAACATTTTAAAGGTTGAAGAAAGCCCTCTGCCAGGCTGCCACACACACCAAGCTTCTGAAGGCAGAGGAACTACCAAGGGGGTCCTCTCTGCTGAGTAAATATTACTCCTGGGAATAATTCTTCTGAAGGTTTTATATTTTAAATAGATACAATAACCTATGCATTTTTCACCTTTTGGTATTTGTCCCATTCCTCCATTTGGGGGGGTAGCTCATGTACTAGAGAAACAGAAGCCCCCTCCAGAAATTATTCCTCCACACCAGTTGGCAACATGGCACCCTCCCAAAATCAAATAACTTCAGTTCTCTGCACCCAACCTTTGGCCATGCTGGCTGAGGCTGATGAAAGCTGGAGAACAATATCTGGAGGGCATCAAGTTGACTACCGATGCTTTACAGGTTCTCTGATCTTCCGCAGAAAACTTGAATGTATTAAGGTGTTGCCAGCAGGGTTGGAGGTGTTGAGGGTGCTGCTCCCTCACATATGCTTTAAATACAGAGAGAGAAAATGTCTGAAGGGGGCTTGACTGGCAAAAATAGCTGTACACCCATGTACAAAAAGGAAAGCAGGTAATGTGGTCTTAGGAGTAACCCACTGGACGATTTTAACATTGAAAATGGGACATATATATTTCCTAGACAGTGACAAAAGGTTTCACACTCCAGTGTAAAACAGTAAGAATAGTTCATGTAAAACAATGCTTTAAGTCTCCGTAGTGGGATGGAGAAAGATGCCGTCTGGCACAGTAAGGTTTTGTAGATATTTTTCATAATGATAAATGTGGTAGTTCAGCAGAAATATAAAAAAAGGCAAACATCCAAATTGGGGCTCTGAATTGTCGCATGCATCATAAATCATTCACTCAATATACTGAAATCCCTGGGAAGTGCCATGGTGGGGGAAAATAACTTCCACTTCTATTTAGAGATGTGGCAGAATTTGATAATATGCTTAAAGGTTCAAGGCTGCCTAGAGAATATGCAGTCAGTAATAGGAGCAGCCAAACACAGAGTTTGAGGCAAAGGAAACTGCTCTTATTGCCAACATTTTCAAAGGCAAATCATCAGTCCTGCAAATGGATCACAGATAATACAACCAAAAAAGTCACTTTTACATGGGCATATCCTATTGCATCGTAATTCTGGCCAGAAACTGTTGTTCATTAATTTCTGTTTCGGACAAAAGTTTGTTATTTGCAGATGTCCACACATTTTAAATGATATTCCTGCAATGTGGAGACTACCAGATGGAAGCCACCATTCTGGGCAGCTTCCAATATACTGTATTTACTCAAATCTAAAACTGTACTCACCTTTTTTGGGCCAAATTACATTGTGAAAATTAGGTGCACATTAGATTTGATGGCACATTTACATTCAACAGCAAATACTTTTTTTGGTTTCAAGGTTCTGAAAATTGAGGTGTGCATTAGATTCGATGGTCCATTAGACTCGAGTAAATATGGTATGTGTGTGTGTGTGTGTGTGTATATATATATATATATATATAGGCATTAAACATTAAAAAACTTCTCTATACAGGGCTGCCTTCAGATGTCTCCTAAAGGTTGTATAGTAACTTATCTCCTTGGCTCAGGGATCACATAACTCCATACCCTCCAACATTTCTCCAGTGAAAATAGGAGACGTCCTAAGGAAAAGCAGGACGTTCCAGGATCAAATCAGAAACTGAGGCAGCATCTGTAGATCTGGGACTGTCCCTGGAAAATAGGGACACTTGGAGGGTCTGGACTTTGCCAGAGTAGTTTGCACTGAGTCTCAGCATTTCTTTGAGGTTTTTGGAGCATCTAGAAAACATTCATCTGAAGGGAATGACATTGCTGTATTATTTATCTGCACTCAGGAGAAAAAGAGAGAGATTTAAACACTTTTTTAAAGGGAAATTGTACTCTCCTACAATCCAAGCCTTTCCCCAACAAAACCACTTACTTTAGCCAGAGAAGACAGCTGAAAGCCTTTGGCCTTCTCTCTCCCAGCATTTTCATTTAAGTAGTTCCCAATGGCTAAGATATATTCCAGCACAGCAACAAATCTCGGGTTGTCCTGCAGCTGTTTGCATGCCCTGATCTTCTGGTTTATGAGCTGGAACACAAGGAGGCATCGTTTGATTAAATTGTCAAGGGTGACTAAATGGGGCTCTCTGCGTTGTTTCTGGTCGGTCAGGAATTAATCTAGACCATGGGAATCTCAAGCCATAAAAGGGGCCTCTGTAGGGATCTGCCATGAAGACTTCATAGTCAAGATTGCTACATTCTCACGTACTGTAATGGCAGGGATCTTCGGCATTCGCTTGTGGGCACATTGTGCAACATGTCACTGATGCGATAATAGTGGATTAGCGGTAGATTTATACTGGATCACTTTATTAGGAAGAGTTTGGATTTGATATCCCGCTTTATCACTACCCGAAGGAGTCTCCAAGCAGCTAACGTTCTCCTTTCCCTTCCTCCCCCACAACAAACACTCTGTGAGGTGAGTGGGGCTGAGAGACTTCAGAGAAGTGTGACTGGCCCAAGGTCACCCAGCAGCTGCATGTGGAGGAGCGGAGACGCGAACCCGGTTCCCCAGATTATGAGTCTACCACTCTTAACCACTACACCACACTGGCTCTCAATTATTAGTTGTTCCTGCAATGCTTCCCTAATATTAATACGTTTATTGCTATGTGGAGAGGCACTTTTGTGCTATAACAGGCGAGGGAACTGGTAGGCCAAGATTGCCCCACAGGCCTCCCCATTTGTCCTGCAAGGCTGCTTTTCTGTTAGTCCTGTGGGCACCATGTTGGCTACACTTGACTTGGAAAGTAATTACATACAATAGCAGCTTCAGAAAGGGCAATTTGGAGCAGTAAAGGTGGTGAGAAGGGGTAACTGGACTCTTTGTGCTGCTTCTATGTTCCTAATCTTCCCTCCCCTTCCCTCCTCTGTAGGGTGACAGACACAGATTGAGGGATCTGTGAAGAAAAAGTCTGCTTTTTGGACCTCACAGGCAGAATAAGAGCTGTGAAAGGGCAACTCTGAGCAGAAAACCAAGAGGTAAGGAAAAGGTTAATATGCCACCATTGCTGCCACTTTCCCACTTCATGTTACCCCTTTGCAAAGTTGCTTTTGCTTAGAAATAGCAGCCTTTGATGGCCCTTGACACATTATTGGCAGGTAATGTGCCAGTCATTTCATGCTTTGTGTTCTCAAAGAGATACACTGCTAGTTTCAAAAATCAGCAGGAAGAAATAGCAGCCTGAATATTCAGTACAGGCAGTAGCTTGTCTTATCTGCCACTTATGTGCATAATCATATGTCCCCCTGCACCCAGACCACAGGTGTCTCCCTATGGAGGGTTTGTGCAAATCACTGCTTCCGCAACTACACAGTAGGGCAAAAACAGGGTGCAAAAGGTTACTCTCTCTTACTCTCCCAGTGCACGCTTGTCAATAATCTCAACTCATTCTTATTTTGACCCCAGTGTGCTCTTTCAAAACTGATTTCCATAATGAAAAAGGGATGTGCAATTTTAACTTGTTCAGATCTTGTTGGGTTGGATATTCTTTTTTCTTTATTTCTTTTGTCTCTCCCAATATGGATGTATATTTTTCACCCTTCCTTATATTGAGCTCATTAATTAAAGAAGGATTGCCTCCCTAGAGCTGCTATTAGCCATAGAGGGAGAAACATGTGGACTTTAAAAATTAAATTTTCATATTTTCCCATCCACAAGTTATAGCAGCTCCAATTAAATAAGGGGTGTATGTAATCTGGACCAGGGCTATGGTGTGGGGAAAAGTGTGTCTCTCCTCATGCTGTGACCCCAATCAAAACCGGTGCCCCATACCTGCTTTTCCAAAAATAGAATGACATTGGGAGCACCCAACAGAGAGCTGTTATTTTCAACCAGTATCTGGGAGCAATTGGCTCTAGTTCAGGTTCAAGGCTCCAGAGAGGTTTTAGCATTGATGCTTAGTTGCAATTGACACAATGCAGGAGGTTCTTTGAACCAGCCTTTGGGGTTCAGGTTAAGTTCAGCTCCCTCCCTGCAGCCTCTTCAAACTGGATGATTGGCAGTCTTTTTGAGACTGTGGACACCTTGAGCCCCAAACCAGATTTTCATTATTATGTAAAACAAAACAGTCAATGTTGGATGTATTGCTTGGGCACCTAGACTGTGTTTTCATAGGTAAACAAGAATGACAAATATCTCAAAAATTAAATCTCAAACAATATCTACAAGGTATCAGCTGTGTTGATTGGCATGGACTCTGTCATCGTTCATGAGGTATTACCTTCTGGAGGTGCTATTTCCGCTAATGAACTCTCTCAGGTTTTGACTTGCCCAAGGCTATTTTAGATACCCCAGCAGGTAGCGCATATTGTATTTCAAAATCTAGACGATCTCAAATTTACTTTCATGCTAGTTATTACTCTCTTGGCTATCAAATCCAGGAGCAACACATAGATCATCAAAACCTTTCCCCACATTTCTTTTGAATAATGCAGTGAAATGACAACTTATACATCAGGCTGCCCGCATTATTACAATATGAATGTCAACGACATGACGGGTGAGTTGCTTTTTCCAAGGAAAATCTCTGCTCACACACATACGTAGATAGACACACCGGCTTTTAAAATTGACATGGAGGGCATCTGGTGCTTTATAGTGCATCCCTAAGCATGTTGACTCAGGAGTAAAGATGGAGGGGGGGCGGCAGGAATTCAGTTTAGTTCACATTTAAAGGTGAACCTACCTAATTCTCACTTCCTGGAACAAAATGCAAACCAAAATACAGCCATCCCTCAAAATTTGTGCTTCTCCAAAGCTTGCAATGCAGTTCTCCAGCCAAATAACATATACAAAAGAACATATTGAAATGTAGAATTCTTCTGTTTATTTTATATTTGCCTGTTTATGTTTGGCTATAACATGCATTTGGTTCCCTTGATGATAACTTCGATTTAGCATATCCAAACATGTGCTAATGTGGACTTACGACTGGAGGGAAAAGCAAAAACACCAAGAGAAAGCAAGTTTGACAGATTCACCCCAGTCCCCCGAGTACAAAGGGACTTTATCCAATGTAAGTATGGATAGGATTACAGCAAGCTCAATGTTTAAATTTATTTAAGGCACACACACAAACAAATATAATATGCTTACCCACAGAAATCAAGGTATGATACTTACTGGCCGCAGTTCAGCCATGGATTCTGGTAGTTCACGAATGGAATGCAAGAGGTCAAGTTTCTTGCATAAATTAGGTATTTTACACATCTGCATAAAGGAAAGGAAACTCAGAAAAGATTCCTGTTGTCCTACATAAGAAAATTTTAAGCTGCCTTGTTAAATCTTGTTCTAGGGGTTCCAACAACCCCCTGAAGCAGATTTGAAGAGGGTTTGGAGTATGCATGGAGGAAGGAGATGAAGGGAAGTTCTACTGAGCAAACATAAATCCTTGCTCCGATGGAATGTATTCATTTGATACCAGCTTGTCAATTCATGAGAAAATTGTGCTCAAAAATGATCAAAATGGAAAGGGAGAGGGAAATTGGTGGAATTCCCATGCATGAGCTACAGGGTTGTTGTTGAATTTCTCTCACTTTCAAGGCACCCATTTACAAGATAGTGAAGCAGCATGTGTGAGTGCCTGTTCATTCAGTCTTCAGTTTAATTCTCCAGTGGTCTGCACTCTGCAGCCTTCCTGAGTTTTTCCTGAAAACCCCTGAAGTCTGCTCAATGGCCAGCTTACTCAGAGTAAGATGACAGAGCTTTTCCCATAGAGAGCCAAGAGGCTACAAAGTGCTGGAGAAATGGAAAGGGAAAATGTATATGCCCATTCTCCCCACAGCCACCTTGCAACAATAACGAAAGCTCAATTCCACAGCCGCAAAATGTTTTTTAAAATTCTAAAGCGTCCTGAGAATGAGGCAGCCTCTTTTGCAGTGGAAGAAAACTTTTAAGAAATTTGGGGACACGTTTTGGCATAGCACCAGCAAAGTTGTTGGAGGCTAAACTTGGGACCAGATACATCCGTACTGAACTATAACCCTAGATAAAAGCTCCCACCTTGGGGCATATCAGCTATAGACATGCATCTTCAACAATGCCTTAAGTCACACAACTGTTGTTCTGTACTTTAAAAAACACAAATGAAATATTTTAGAAATGCTTTTTTAATGTTTCAGTTTGAACTTAATTCTAATAATCTAACACTGTGTCTTTTGCACAGTCTTCTGTGTTAAGGAGACAGATCAGAATAAATAAAGCAACCCAGCTGCTGCAAAGGATTTCTTTGTTCCAAGAAAGTTCGATGAGTTGCATTTTCCCAGGTTTTAAACTCAGCATAAAATCAACAGAGAGCAAGAAGCAGACAATATGGCATGTACAAAACCACGACTTAAACCGTAGATATACTTCTTACTTCTAGCATAAATTGATCCACCAGATGCAGTTCTGAAGGAGACCCTTTGAATGACATGTACATTTCTATATCTTTCGCGGTGGGCTGGTATCTATGGGAAATCGATACAAATTAGCATTCCTGGTTCCAAGACATCAGTGTCAAATATGGGCATTTTGTAGACAATGGTAACAATTTCAACAGAATACTTAAAAACATGGGCTCATTTGTGTGCTAAACCAGAGTAAACAACAATGAATGTTTGCCCATTTTAATTAATTGGGGAGAAATACAGCATTTTTGTATTGGCTTGTTTCAAATCCATTAACCACTGCCATCTTGAATAATTAACTACATTCCATATGTCTATTTTTCCACTTCTGCCCACATTCAGATTGGGAAAACAACAACAGCTAGAACTGTTTCACTGGGCCTTCCCACAGGTGGAACAAATTCTAGCAGTGTTCATTTGTTTGTTTGATGTAATACATTTCTAGGCTGCCTCATAGTCAAATTGCCTGCACTGTTTACAAAACTTAAAAGCCACAATACCCACCATAATGCAATACAAACATAAACGTAGCAGATAAAAGCACAGTTAAATGTCAGAGTTTAAAACAATGTCTTGTTGAATAAATAGCCCTTTGCTTGGCATTCAGAATACAGAGAGTTGGCACCAATCAAACCTCCCTATTTATTTAGACCAAGCAACACAAACTTGTTCTGACACGCAGAGAGTTCTTTCAGCAGTCTCTGTATTCTCCCTTCCCCTTGTGACTGCTAGAGTAGGTACTGTAGTACAGGGGTACCCACCATAGTGCTCTTCAGATGCTGTTGTATTTCAACTCCCATCATCCCTGACCTCTGGCTATGCTGGCAGGAGTTGGAGTCTAGCATCACCCAGAAGACACCACTGTAAATCCACATGCCTCTTTCACCTGCCTCGGATAGTCTGCAAAGCAGCACCATGGAATCTTCCCGGTCCAAGCACACAAAGCAAGTGGAGAGAGGTGAACCACATTACAGGGAAGGGCCATAGCTGAGTGCTAAAGCAACTGCTTCGCATGCAGAAACCCCAGGTTCAATCCCCAGCATCTCCAGGTAGAAATGTCCTCTGCCTGGAACCCTGGAGAGCTGTTGCCAATCGGTGTGGACAATTCTGAGTTAGATGGACCCAATGGTCTAACTCAGGAGAAGACGGCTTCCTATGTCCCTAAGGCACTGTGGAAAGTTATTTCAAGCTGTCTCTGGATGGGTTGGGGAAAATAATGCAAACGGGTGGCCCATAATCATGTCAAGCATGGGATTAATTTATTTTAAATCCAAGCCATTTGGCTCAACTGGATTGAATTGTTTTGTTGCTCACTTTGCTTAAAGCTCAGCATTACAAGCAGCAAGGTGGCTTACGGTTCCTCCAGAGAACAATGAGTAATAGAGCATATGTATTTTTTTAAAGTTACATCCCTAATTTCCAATGCAAGGAGCTAGGTACATCAGGTGCTTCAGTAAACACATCCTTTCGCTTCTCCTTTCATTTGCCCAAAATGATGCTGTTTTCAAAAAGTAATATCTATCATAAATAAAGAATTCTATCCAAAAGGTTACCTTCTTAGTGCTGTAATCTGCTCAATGCTAAGTCCACCACTGTCTTCATGTATAATGTATAATTTTTCTTTCAGCTGGCTTGGCTTTATGCGGAAACTTTTAAGAAAAATGTCTGGAGGGGGAGAATGGTTCTTTGATTACTTGTAGATAAATGCATAGGGGAGCGGGGGGGGGGAGGAAGCAGAGAAGGAATACTGGGACATTTATACTGTTGTTCAGCCCACAGAATTAGCTTGTGCTTGTGCCCACTAAAAGCTAAGATGAGTCAGTGCTCTAATATCTTGTACAAATAGTATCCTAGCATTCTAGTACGAATGGCATCGATGTATCCATATGGATGTATTTGATTGAAGTGTAGTCAATCCATTAGTCAGAAGAATAAATCAAGAGTGTGTCTCCTGATGGCACTCAAAACCTTACTTTGAAAATTATTTTAGTTAAGAATACAAAAATTGTGCTGCTGATTCTGGGATTGAGTTTACGGAGCCCACTGTTTTGTTCTCCAGAGTGACCACTCAACTCCCCCTGGGAGCTCACAAACAAGGTGGAAAGGTGACAATCGCTCTCACTGTCTTGTCATCAAAGCAACAAGTAAACAGGGGTACACTGCCTCTGAATGAAAAGTGATACCCTTCTTGAATTACCCACACCTGAATTTGTCCAGTTTTTCCCCAAGCATGTTTTGAGTTGTAAGTTTGCTAAAAGCAGGGGCTTGCCCAATTTGCCTAGTAGAAAAGAGTGGTTTCCTGGAAGAAACAAGACTAATTTGGAGGATTAAAAAGCACTGTTTAAAGATGTCTTTATCCTCACTAACAACATCTTAACATGTACTTCCCAACCACCACCACTTTAGTGCCAGTCAATGGATGCAATAATTTCCCAGCCCAGGTGTCCCAATTAACATAATGATTACACCCTTCCAATTTTAGTTCATGCAAATCCTTCACAGGTTTATACTTCACACAAAGGATTTCCAGTTGTGCTTGCTGGAGGCCCCTTGCGCAGCCGCCTCAAGTGCTACAAAGGATCCTGGGAAGTACTATAAAGCACACATACACTTAGTGTTGTGCCAAAATTTTATCCCCCATTTCCTCTTGACCATGTTCCAATACTGAGAGGGGAAATGCATTCAAAAATTATCAAAGAGAAAAGGAAAATTTAGAGTAATTATAAAGGGCAGGGTGAACTGTTTTGGCTGTGTTTAGCTTACTTTTGAGTAGGCATGGGGGAGAAACTTGGTTTTGTTTGTATTTTAATGAGAAACTACCTAAGGTGCAGTTTTCAAGCTTACACACGAACTATCCTTTAAAATTTGTATTTCTCTGAATTTTGCACTTCTCTGAATTTTGCAGTACAGTTGACTAACCAGAAAATGTAAGTGCGCCTGCATGCATTAAAAAGCACACAGCAGTGAAAATAACAGGTAAAAGTGTAATATATGGGAGAAATTTGCTTACAAAAATATGCATATTTGCCAAAACTGAATACAAAATGTCTACAGATTTTCATGTGGATTTTTTAAAATTAAAAATTAAATTAAAAAAAATCACAATTTGATGGAGAAATATGGAGAACTAAAAACTGGAAAAATGAGAAACTGATGTTGACAGACTCATCCATTGGTACTTGAGAGAAGGACCAAAGTTCAGCAGTAGAGCATCTGCTTTGCATGCTGAAGGTCCCAGATTCAATCCCTGGCATCTCCAGAAAAGGCAGGGGGTGACCCTTGTCTGAAATTGTGGAGACTTGGCCAGTCAGTGTAGACAGTACTCAGCTAGATGGACTGATGTCTGACTCAGTAGAAGGCAGCTTCCTAACTCAGGGTCAGCAGATGAAGCTGAATGGCAAGAGATTCAGGACAACAACAAAGCACTCATTGACACAGCACACAGCTAAACTACATAAGTTGCTACCACTAAATGTAGTTATGACCACCAACTTGGATGGCTTAAATTGGGGATTAGAAATGGAGGATAAGGCCATCAATGACTACTTGTCACAATGGTTGTGTACTACCTCAGGATCAAAAACAGTTGTTAGGGAACTGCCATTGGCTCAGAGGTGAGAAATAGAAGGGCAGTTGTGTTACAGGGAGCCTCCGAAAATCTTGCGAAGCAGTTCCTCTTCCGGGGGGGAGGAAAGCCCCACCTCCAGTGGGGAAGAGGTGGAAGGATCAGAGGATGCTGGTGGGAGCCTTCTGGGAAAGCCAGACAGGAGGGAAACACACCCTTGCCATCGCCCATCCTGCACAGTTGTTTGAGGTGCAGAGAGGGGAGGAGACGTTTGGGAGAACGAAACTCTTATGTTGGGGGAGGTCCAAAAAAAGACCACTCCTGGATTCTGCTAGCGATTGAGCCAGACATGAGCTTTGGGGCTCTTCACTGTAAATAGTTTGCACCAAAATAAAGCCTGTAAAACACAGGTCGGAGTCCTGCCTGGTTACTCTCGAGCAACTGCAACAGCCACCTGACAACATCTGTTACAGGAGAGCTATTGCACTCATGAACTGATTGTGGGCTTCCCACAGACATCTGTTTGATCACTAGGAGAACAGAATGCTAGACTGGGTAGACCTTTGGCCTGATAAAGAGGTCTCTCCTTATGTTCTTACATCAATGATTCTGTGATCACGGGATAACATTTGATGGGCTGCTCTTCTTATAACTATTGAAATTCCATTGAAATTCCGCAGCATTTCCTTCTGAGCCTCTTATAAATATTAGGAATCACAAGGAAGGGGCTACTCCTAGTAAGCAAAGTGACATTTTCACACTTACTGAAGTTATGAGCAACTTTTGGGTTTAACATAATTTGTTGTGTCTGGAGAGGCTCATTGCCATGAGTTCCCACCACTTCTTGAATACGAAACTGGTTGTGAAGCCGAGCCACATCTATGGTTTTCTGGCCCAGGTGGCAGGATGTCCAGATTGATTTCTCTATCTAAAAATATTAAAAAGCTGTAAGTAGATATGTCATGGCATCTCTATAATTAGGACGGGCAAGTTCCCAAGGCTTGATTTGGAATGAGCTTACCTAATGCAAGCTACTTTGCCCGCTGTTCAGCTCATGTCCAAAATTAGTTCATTTTAAGCTCACATATTCCAAGCTCCAGGTTTCGTCATATTTTCAGTGATGCTTTTATAAACACACAAAGCAATGAGAAGTATCCCCACTCCCAACACATCCTCCAACCACTAGGGAATAGGATGAGTCCTGCAGACCCTTCATACTCCTCTCTGACACATTCCCCCATCCCTGAAAAAAGCATTCTTGCAATGGTGAAATGCAGCCTTAATGCAGCAAAAGCACCAGGAACCCTGAGAATTCTAGATACCCTATGTATCTTTTGGTAGCTGATTTCTGGTGAACTGTAGTTTCCAGGATATTTGTGAGGACCTCAGAGGCCATGGAAACAACATTTCCCACCAGTCTTGTCACTTAATAATGGCCTAATGAAGGTTGCAACAGCCCTCCTTACCACTGCTGCCAGGTAAGTTTCAGCCAGAAAGGGAAATGGTCAGCCATGGAAGTGTAATATACCAGCTTTGAAACTGGGGCTAAACTAATTATGAGTGGAGACCAAACTTGGCTAATAATTAGCCTAGACGCTCAAGACTGGAGAATTCCATGATTCAAAAAAATGGGATTTGGTGAGCCAGGGGAATGTATAACTATCTTATACGACATCCAAGTAGGATCCCATGTTCCTGACTGGGTATTGTAACACCTAACTGAGCATATAGGAGGAGTCCTAGGAACTGCAAGTACCTTCTTCCTGAGGTCACCCTGGGATGTGTAAACGGTAGTCATGACATTCTTTATGGACAGTTGTAACCATAAAAAGACAATAGATTCCCATGGGGCTAAGAGCTTGGGGACTCTTTTTGAGGAATCCATGTAGAACTTGAATTCCATCATAGCGTTTTTCACTGTATTCTTCCAACTGAATGATTACCAGGGGACTGTAGGTGGGGGCCAGGGGGCAGGGTGGAGATTCCATCTAAATAGGTCATAAAAGAGCTTGACCCACAAAATAGGATCATGACCTCTCTGTGGCTTGGTGCTACCACATCCCTCAATGGGGTAGAGGGTGACTGTGAATCATGAGTCATTACATCTAGGACAGTGGTGGGGAACCCCTGGCCTATGGTCCTAATTAGGCCCACAAGTTATTCCCATTTGGCCCAAGGGCCATGTCAGCCAAGCCACAGCCACTTGTCCATCACCCAGCATCAGATGACTTCAGCTATGGGTAAAAGCATGACTTGGAAAAGCACCATATTCAAAAGGGAGAATCAGGAGTTCACTCTAAATGGACTCCTGATTCTTCTTTTGCACACCTGGCTTGAGTTCAAATGAATATTCCATTGCAATTCAAGCCATAGTTACAGGGGTAGAATTTTTGCAGCTGTGGTTTGAGTTCTTGAATTCAGGCCGCGTTTCTTTGCATTTCAAGCTGTGACTACAAAGGAAGAATCTTGCAGCTGCATATTGAAGTTACCATTACCTGGCACCCGATACCATCAGCTGATTAGCAGGTGGCCAGATCCACCCACCTGTCACGTGATCTATGGAATGCTGGCTGCTTCTGCTCAGCCCTCCTCTAACAGGATAGGGATAATGGTAATAGATTATTCCCAACATTTATTTATTAACCAATGGCGTTCGTCTCTTGCCCATTTTACCTCCTAAGGAACTCAAGACAGCAAGGATAGGTTCCCCACCAGCCAATTTAATTCCATTAAATGCCTACCATGATCACAATATTCTCCTTTGCAAGGAGGCTTACATCACTTGTGTTGTCAGGATTATCTGAATGGGCATGTGAGGGGGACATGGTGTATGTACTACAAGGGTAACCAACGGTGCCCTCCAGGTATGGATGCTTTCTCCCATACTCCCATACTGAGAAACAATGGGAAGCTTGGTCCAAAACATCTGGAAAGAACCTCAGTGGTCACCCTGGTGTACTACTTGCTTTCTCTATTTTGTTGCTAAATTCCTACATGGACAGCATTTCTATTCTGTAGAAGGATGAACAATCTCGTGTTAAACCACATTATGATTATGATGATGACAGCTTGCAACAACAGAGAATCAAACACTCGTGGATTTTATGCACCCTGTTCTATGCAAAATATAATTTCAGACCTTTTCCTGAGGAACTACTTCCCAGTGGAACGCTTTTGTTCTTGTTGATGTTGGAGGCTGGCTGGACAACTTGGGGAAAGGAGGTGGGGCTTTCCCACCTGCCGTTCTTCCAGGAAGCTGACCCAATGCTGAAACCAAAGGACGGTTCTCCTGGAGAGTGTGGGCTAAAGTCACAGCCTCTGGAGCTGTAGGAGATTCCAAACCGAAACAGATGGGCTGTTCCATCTTCCCTTCATTTAAACAGTGAGCTTCCTCACACACCGCATCTGAGGCATTCCCCTGAGTCAGGGATTCTGCCTTTGGCAATGAGCAGTATCTGTCTATGAGCAGCATCCACTCATTTCGGAGCTTGGTAATGTCCTCTAGTTTGTTGTTCTGGACAGTAAAGGGTATTTGGAATCTACAATTCAAAAACGGTGAGTCTGTGAACCCAAAATAGTGCACATGAAATGCCAATAAGCACAACCACAACCATTTCTATTTCATGCCCATTGATGTTACAGACAGTTTTACTTGTCAAGAAGGCCAGCAGTGCTGACTCTGACCTTTTCAGGCTGACTTAATTGCTCAGACTTTGAAGGAAACAAGAGTGCTGAGATATAAAGATATATATTGCAACATATTGACTCAGGTGAACAATTTCCGTATAATTTTGTGGCCTTTGGGGTCAAATGGAACATTTCTACAGTCTGCAAAGACACAGTTACAGCTAAACACTGTCTCCAGCATTTAGATTTTTCACGTGAGCCAATTTACTAATTAATCCTTCTTTGGTTTGTGAGCAAGGAACAGAATGCTTTTGACATTGAGATACATCAACTTGGCTAGCCACTAGGAACTGGAACTGAAATATGTCCAGCATATTAACATGCTTTTGAGCATGTGCAGAGTGTCCTTCCCACATCAATAAGTGATGAAAACTTAGCACCTCTTATTTTAGAAATGAAACATACACATCCAATCATATATTCAATGTAGAAATTGTGTATCTGGATTCAAGTGACTAATCTGACATGCCTAGCTTTACTTTTAGGGAAACTAAGAAAGCAAAACTTCTAACAATTCATTTATTCCCAAGCCTTCAGCTCTTTCACACAATCTCCAGGGTAATATTAGAGCCTATTGAATTTGGGTGTACATGTATATGGATGTCACAATGTGTGGTAACTGATGTGTGTGCAGACTACAGCTGGCAAGAAAAGGTGATCAAACATATGTGAAACAATTCAAGGAGGAAACGGCTTCATGAATAACTCCCCACAGCTTTGTTTCACCGACATCTCACTGACTCCTATTCCCCCTTACAGAGCTATAATTTCTAGACTGGTTTAACAGTCAATCTCTCTTCCCAGGAATATCTGCATATTGTAGCTAACAACTCTCAGCACCCTTAACAAACTACAGATCCCAGAATTCTACAGAGGAAGCCATGACTGTTTAAAGTGGTATCGTAGTGCTTAGAATGTATGGTGCAAATGTAGCCAGAGTAATTTTCTGTTTTTTGTTACTCAGCAATCTTGACGTGTGTGTGTGTGTTTCTCTTCCTCCCTACACAGCATCCACAACAGACCATTACGCAAAGCTCACTAACATCATTTAGCATGGTTGGTACCACTTGTGCAACCTTGACTTAGACCCTCTGGGCTGGGCGGGGTATAAATAATAAATTATTATTATTATTATTCCATTTGTTTCTGCTGTATTAGGTACACTTACAAGTACTTGGCTTCCTTTGTTCGAAGCATGAAGGTGCCAGAACCATCCTCCTCACTGACAACTGCATCTCCACTTGACAAGTTAATTGTTTTTGCTCCAGGAGCCGCAGTCTCCATCTGGCGTTGGTCGATGCAATGTAAGCTCAGCTCCTGTTCGCTCAGCTGAACAAAGTGTCTAGAGGACAAAAAAAGAAAAAGAAAAGAAAAGGTGCTGGCAAACTCAGGTAGTTAGGTGCATGTGGATCCTTTGATTCAATGCAAAAATACACATTTCATACTGGTGAAAATAATTTCTTTTAAAAGGATTTGCGAAGGACCTTATTGTTTTATGGCTTGCGAATCAATTTAGGAGGTTAAAAGATTCCTCATTAATGGAGCCTAAAACATTTACAGTGTTTTGATGTATCTTGGTGCTCTATGCTTTGTATTTATTAGGTTAAAAGGGTTTGTGAATTGCTAGTCTGTCTTAATGGCATCCGAAACATTTGAAGTGTTTGGGGTTTCACTAATATCGGGCTATAATGCTCTGTGCTTCCTCAATTAAATTTATGAAGTGAACTCTGTTTTTCTAATTGAAATGAACACTGTAATTAATAAGAGGTTTGTTTTTTAAAAGAACTTCAGGATAGAAATTCAGGGATAGGCATCAGACTGAAAATGAAGAAGAGATATTGCAAGACATTGTCTTTGATGCACAAACCTGGGGATGAGGAACCTGCAGCCCACCAGCAGACACTGTGGGTCTCTGATGGTTTTACTTTACCCCCAAAGGTACACTCTTCCATTATCTCCCAGCTTATAGTCAGGGATGACAAAAGTTGTAGCCCAGCAACATCTAAATAGCTATAGGTTACCTAGCCCAAATATAGAGTAGCTGTGTCCAGTTATCTCCAAATCTGTCTTTCTTGAAATGGTTAACTGTACTCTTATACTGGCTATTAACAGTGGGGAGGGGTCTTCTCAATGACAGCTCCCTGATTATGGTATAACCTAGGGATGGGGAGCCTCTAGTTATCCAGAGGTTGTTGGACTACAGCTCCCATCAACCCTCACCCTTGGCCATACTGGCTAGTGTTGATGGAAGCTGCTGTCCAACAATATACAGTGCGGCACAGGTTCCCCATCCCTACATTAAAAGATAACACTCAAGATAGCTCCCATCTGATCTACTCTGCCCTTCTTTGCTTTAAGTGGCTGCATTGTTTTTTATTATTATTATTATTATTATTATTATGCTTTAAACCTCTCTTAATTGTTATATTTTGTACTGGTTTTAAAACTCTTTTCAGTTGTGTTGTAACTCACCTTGAGACTCATGGGAAGGCGATTCATAAATTAATGAAATAATGGGTGGTAGCAAACTAACTTGCCCCATCAAGTTACTGAACTTTCCCTGCTTCTCCTCCCCCACCCCTACCCCCTCCTCAGATCTGCTCCAGAGGGTTGAGGGAACCCCAAGAACAGATTGTGGGGGCATACGGGGAAGAGGGGGGAGTTCAACTGCAGAAGCAGAAATAATTTGTTTTCATTAAGACCCGTGTTCGTCACATGCAGCGCTGCTTCCATTCCACTGCAGTCTGACTTCCGACAAAAACAAAGAAAAATTGTTCATCTTGCTGTCCACCGTGGCAGAATTTTACATACTTAAGTAATAAATTATGTTATTTCACACAATTCATTTCAGTGCAAAGGAAACTCAGTGCAAAGGGAAGGGGGCAGGAGTCATCAATTAAGCACCATTTGCAGACTGAAAACAACCACCATGGATACTGATTGTATTTCTGTATTTCCATTCTGGAGATGGAACACATAAGTGAACATCTCTGACATCTTTGCACATAACTCAGACTCACAATCATGCAGAGTTCTGGATTACATGGGATGCTTTGCATGTACAGGTACATGTAGGAAGGCACTGTCACTACAGATGGATATGAAGTCTAGGGGCTCAAGGGTGGATTGGCAAGCCCCCACTCCAGTGTGGGGCAAACACTGGAGCATCAAGAGGGCTCCAGTTGACTACTGATTGTGTGGGTTCTATCCAGCTAAGCATTATTAAGCATTAAGTAAGTAAACCCACAAAAATTAATAGACCAAAGTTAGTCATGGTCATTATTTTCAATGGGTCTAGTCTGAATACAATTAGCATTAGATACAACCCTTTGTGTTTAGTTCTGATTTATTTAGTGTCTCTCCTGAAAGCTTAGCTGAAAGATAAAGAATTCAAGTCATTTTGGCTACCACTCCTAACTGAAAGCATCCATTATCTCTACATCTGTGTGCAGAGTCAGAGTTCTCCGTATTGTTGAACAGAGCTGGCCGTCTTATTGCATTCGAATTCCTTTCACAAAGAACTTGCAGCTTAATTGTTCACTGTTTAACAAACAGTTGCTTTGATGAAGGAAGCAAACTTGGGCTTTGCTCCACAAGGTGAACAACAAAAATCCATTGTGCTCCCATGGCCATCCATGTGTGGGGAGAGAAGTGTGGTGCAGTGGTTAAAGCATTGGACTAGGACCTGGAGGACCAGAATTCAAGCCTCCACTCAAGTCATGAAGCTCACCTTGGACCAGCCACTGTCTCCCAACTTAATCTACCTCACGGGATTGCTGTAAGAATCAGAATTGTGCTTGCCACTCTGAGCTCCTTAGAGGAAATGTGGGATATAAATGCGATAAATAAATGAAGAGCCTGCTTTATGTATGTAGGATTCGTGTAAATGTAGAACCCTGTGCAACCAGGGTGCTACATCACACAGGGAGCTACATAACTCCCTTCTTCTCAAACACATGGAGGGCAGCTGGGCTGGGAAACAGGGATGTGATGGAGAAAGAGAGGCCAGCAGATATAGACTCACTCTCCCACTCATGTGAGAAACTGAACACCACAATAGGTCTATTGTGTCCTCTGCTTTTCAGACACTATAAGATTATTCATCATCGCTAATCACATGAAGCATGCTTCTAGATGGGGCTTTAACCAAGGTGAGATATTGCAAATGGATCGCTTCCAACGCATAATGTTGTTGTTGTTTATTGTATTATATATTCAACCAGAAAGGGTAAATCCACATAGAATCATAGAGTTGGAAGAGACCACAAGGGCCATCGAGTCCAACCCCCTGCCAAGCAGGAAACACCATCAGAGCACTCCTGACATATGGTTGTCAAGCCTCTGCTTAAAGACCTCCAAAGAAGGAGACTCCACCACACTCCTTGGCAGCAAATTCTTTTATATATATATAAAATATTTATTAAAGTTTCAAAAATAAAAAAGGAGTTACAATAGTAATAATAAGAAAGAATAAAAAAAGAAAGAAGAAAATACAAAAAAAGTAAAAACAATTAAAAATAAATCAATCTTTCCATATCTTGTCTTTCACTCACTTGTTTCCCTGACCTCCTCACACCTCCCCTTTTTTGTATTCAAGTTCAGTAAGTTAATTCAGCAAATCCTTTCCCTCTTTGTTTTTATCTTAGACCTTTGTCTTAATATGTAATAATTGTATATTCTCATCTGTTAACAGTCCATTTTTACATACTCCTTGTAGCATTACTACTAAAAACCCCTTAGCTTCATTCCTTGGCAGCAAATTCCACTGCCGAACAGCTCTTACTGTCAGGAAGTTCTTCCTAATGTTTAGGTGGAATCTTCTTTCTTGTAGTTTGGATCCATTGCTCCGTGTCCGCTTCTCTGGAGCAGCAGAAAACAACCTTTCTCCCTCCTCTATGTGACATCCTTTTATAGATTTGAACATGGCTATCATATCACCCCTTAACCTCCTCTTCTCCAGGCTAAACATGCCCAGCTCCCATTTGATGCCAATGGTGCTACATGGATGCTGTGAAAAATATTGCATGCTCATCCCACAATTAAGAAACATTTGGAAGCACCCAAGGTTGCTGCTTCGCTGCACAATGACTTTGTTATAAAAAGCCAAACGGGATTATGGGCCAAATTAAGGTAGCAAGTCCTTCTAGCGGAAGCCCCTGTGCAAGGAGCTTCACTAACACAATTGGGCTTTTCCACACTCCTCCCCATTCTCCCCTGTGCCCCCCCCAAAAAAAGTAGCTCAAGTGTGTCCAGAGAACAGCATGTTGGGGAAGGAGACTGGGGTCATTTGGTCTGGCAAGCTGTAACTCTGGTGCCAACAGAACGATTGCCATAGAGTTATACTGAATTCTTCCCTGTGTACGACAAATGCACTTTCTATTAGGGAAGGCAGAAATCCTCCGAGTGAGGGAGGGAAGCCCTTTTGTGGGGGTTATTTTTGTTTTCTTGCAATTTATATTGATGGCATTGCTATATATTTTAAAAAGTAATCTCACCAAATGCTCCTTTTATGTTATTAAAGGAATATAAATGTACACCTAGACAAAGAAAAGAGGAAAAACATAAAATAGTAATAAATTACAACTACTGCCATATGTGTTATACAGTATATGATGTTCAACTTTATGGAGGGCTTTACTCAAAGCAGGGCCTTTGAAATGAATGGACATGACTATGTTAGGCCCATTGATTCCAGCTGCTCTGCTCTGCGTTGACTGCCACCCTAGATTTCTTATTCTCATCTCTTAAGGAAATTATGCTTAGCCATTTATCTATGTCCCCCTGAGCTTATTTTTCATTTCAACAATGAAAATGCATTGAGTTGTATTTACTTTTCATATAACTGATGGATCATGGACTTTCAGGCTGCTCCGGCTTATGCCGTCCTCTCAGTCTTACTATCTCAGTAATCTTTGACACGTTCACAACATGCCAAGCTTTATTCAGCTGTTCGCATTCTCTGCTTAGTGGCCAACTACATTTTGGCAGATCTTATTAAATTCCCAATCAACAGTGTATAATGCTGCTTAATACTGGCTCGAGACAAACGTCCATCTAGTCTCACATGCTGTTCTTGCAGTGGCTTACCAAGTGCCTATGGAAAGCCCGCAAGTAGGACATGAATGAAATATCCCTCTCCCCACTTGTGCTCCCCACAGTTCCCAGCAACTTGCATTGAGACATGCACATTGTCTCTGATACCAGAGACAATGCACAGCCATCATGACTAGCAGCCCTTGGTTAGCCATAATAGTCATAATAATAGATCATTATTTATTATTTATACCCCACTCATCTGACTCGGTTTCCCCAGCCACTCTGGTTGGCTCCCAACCGAATTTTAAAAACATAATACAGCATTAAACATTAAAAACTTTCCTATACATGGCTACCTTCAGGTGTCTTTTAAAAGTAAGATAGTTGCTTATTACCTTGACATCTGATAGGAGGGCTTTCCACAGGGCGGGTGCCACTACCGAGAAGGTCCTCTGCCTGGTTCCCTGTAACTTCACTTCTTCCAGTGAGGGAACTGCCAGAAGGCCCTCGGCGCTGGACCTCAGTGTCCGAGCTGAACGATTATCCTCCATTGATTTGTCTAAACTACATCCTGCGGCCACTACTGTCTTTGTTTAGATTATGAAGTTTGTCTCTTTTTCACCATTCAGCCTTGGAAGTTTCCAAGAGCAGGCCTCTCACTAAGAATCTTGCCCTCTCCACTGAAATCTCTTGCATTTAAAGTTACAAAAAATGGCATCCTTGTCAAGTCGCTTGTGTGTTGGGGGACAGTTTCATGTTTCTGCTTTTGCTGTTACCCAAAACTGGCATCAGAGAGATACCTGTTCCAATCTAGGCATGCAAATTCAGGTGTTTTCTCTCCAAAGAAATGGTTTTAAGCTTCAAGAGAGGGTTAGATATTAGCTTCAAGAGAGGTATTAGTACAAGAAGGGTTTGCAATGTTCAGGAAATGACAGGGGAGGTGAATGTTTGGGAAAAGGTGAGGAGATGGACTGGCCATAGGAACAATTCATCTGGTTCTCTTGTCAGTTTTGGGGGTGGAATCAGTCTGGTGGTACCTGGCAGAGGCCCCTTCTTGGGATCCCTTCTTGGGATCGTCTATCTGTGGGAGTAGAATATATAGGAGCAAGCTTACCGAATCAGTTCCTTTGTCAAGGTAATGGCTTTGGCTGGTTGGTTAAGTACCGAGATTTACAAATCCAAAGAGGTTGTCATAGAAACAAATGGGTGGGCTTTTCCCAGCACCCTCACTGGGTTTAGCCAGAGTTGTGTGTGTGAAAGAGAGAGTTGAAAAGCTGGATGCTGAAAACTGGAGACAGGGGGAAATGTTAGCTCTGTACTGGATTTTGAGAGTCCCTAAAAGGGAAGCAAAATCTGTGTGAGTGTTAATGTTGTGAGCCCTTCCATCCTAGGCCAAGGTTGTATATATGTGTAAATAAAACCATATATCCTAAAGACACCAGAGTCTCTGCTGACCTTCATTCCTAGGAAACCAAACCCTGAGTAAAGCTCAGACCCACCTGGTGTCTCCTGGAGACTAGGGTGGTGCATAAAAATACATTCTCCAGTGAAAAATTCTCTATTGCTTGAGTTGGAATATATAATGTCCAGGAATAGTCTGTAGAAAAGCCAGGGAAGTAAAGAGGACTTCTAGGGCTCTAGGAATTCAAATCATATCCCTTGTCTTTCTTCTAAAGGTTGTTCTTTTTCCAGGTTTACTCCACACCTCCATTCTAACATAAGGCAACAAGCTGTAAAGAGAGCTGGTGGAGACAGCAAAGAATACACCCTGGGTTTGTGGGCCAATGGACTGAAATCAGAGAAGGCTAGTTCTGAGTTTTGGGTGGCCTTGGGAGCATTTGGTATATAAACAGCTATGTAGAAGGGCCCGGTGGGACAGTAAGTGTTTTCTCCCCAAGCACCCAAAATGTGTTTGAAGAAATGTCTGGCTCAGTTAACCTTCTTTTGGTATTGCAGCAAAGCACACAAATAAAGAAAGTCTCCCATTGCTCCCATGAGATACCGCTTCGCTTGAGTCATTCTTTTCTTAACAGTTGGCTTCAGTGCATGAAACCACTGCATTTTGGATCAGATCTGCAGAAAAGGACCAGAAACTCAAGGCCAAGCTACAGGAATGGAGGACCTGCTGCCCTCTGGACGCTGTTGGACTCCAACTCTCATCAGCCTGGCCAAAGATCAGGGATGGTGAGAGATGGAACCCAGCAACACCTAGCATGCCACAGGTTGCTCATCCCTGCTACACACGTTGAATGCATCTTTGAATCTAACATGCAAGATTTTTTTAAAAATGGAATTGTGTCAGCTGGTGGAGGGCTGATACTGAGTGGGACCACAGCAAGCGGGGGGGGGGATTTAACCCTTTCTTCCCCTGCCACAATCCTGAAGACAATCCATCTTCTGCAGCTAGTATTTGCTTTCAGAGGAAATCCACCATTGGCACCTGACTCAGATCCCATTTATGCCTGCTCAGATCCCATTTATTCATTTTCTGTCTGTCTGTCTGTCTGTCTCTCACACACAAACACAAACACACAGCCAATGGAAATTACATTTGTTAAAACCTGCACATGAGATGCAAAGACCATTGAGAAGGGAGTGACAGAGGCAGGCAGAGACACCACCATAGAACCATGGAATTATAGAGTTAGAAGGGATCCAAGTGGTCATCTAGTCCAACCCTCTGCAATGCAGGGCCTGCACCACTCATACTGTTCCCTTCCCCCACAGAGCTGGAGGAACATCATCTGCCCTTTGAGAAGGAAGAAGGAAGGCTGGGAGAAGGGGTTGGTTGTGTTGTGTTGGGTTTTATTTTTACCTGCTGGTGAATGATGGGAGAATCATAAAACTGTAAACCTCCTTGGGCAAAAGGGTAATATATAAATGCAGTAAGTAATTTAACATCTAAGAGGCCATATGCCCTGCTTTACAAAGGAAAGTCAACTATTTGAAGGGCTATCTGGTTCAAGACCAATTTAAAGATGAAACTACTCTCAGAAAGGAGAACAGGGTCCCTACAGATAGGAGCTTTATTGTGGGCGTATTTTGCTAGATGCTCTTTACACAATAATAGCGCATTAGTGGTGGGTTTATTCTGCTTCAATTTGTTCTGGGATGCTTCCCCACTGCTACCACATTACTGCTGCTCAGAGGGCCTGTGGACCACAACAAAAGCAGGACAAAAACAAAACAAAACCCCAGAACATCTGCGGTATAAAAGGATACAGGATTTCAGCAGGAAGTTACAGGTTATGCACAAATTGGAAATGAAGCAGTGTGACCACCCAAAAACTTTTTCAGTTGCAAATAGCACTGAAAGCAGAGTCATTTGTGACCCCCAGTAGCATCATGAGCATAAAGCATCATGGTGCACAATAAAAAGGGTGTTTGGGGAGCCCAAAGTTACCCATCAGTGTTTAGCAGTTGAACCACAGGCACTCATGTCACTTGGTCACAGTCTTCCCTATAACGAAAACATATTCACTAATTAATATTGGCGTTTTATCCCAGTTTATCAATGTGATTTATTCTTTTATATGTTCTCATTATTATTTTAATACTGTTGTTTAAAAGGAGTGTTTTAATGGTATTTGATTTTGATTTTTTAAAAAAACTGCAAGCCACCTTGGGAATTTTATTAATTTAAATGGGGTTTTAAAACATTCTCAGTAAATTAATTAACTGAGGCCGGAGTCCTAAAGAAACTTAGGGATTATCCACACCTTCATCTGCCCCACTGTTTTCCCCCAGGGAAGCCCAACCTTCAGTGCTGAATCAGGTTTTCCAAAGATTGGTGTTTGTTCCGATTTAGCACTAGAGAGCAGGTTTTCCAGGGGGAAACAGCAGGGCAAAGACAAAACTGCTGGGACCCATGCCTTGAAAGCATGCGATAAGCAGAAAACTGCTTGGGCCCATGCTTTCTAGGGATAGGGCAAGCAGAAATGTGAACGAGCCCTTTCTTGAGCGTTTAATGGGACTCACTTGCAAGCAAACATGCATAGGAGTGCACTGTAAATAAGGCACTGTCGTTACTTCAGTTATCTCTAAGTTTCGTACTTCACCCATTTAATGGACTTTGGCGTCTCTAGCTGTAGATCCAAAATTCCTTCGTGGATCACATCACATTTTTCAGGCTCACCACAGCAAGGTTCTGCCAGCCCTCTGCAGGCATTAGTCTGTATAATCTTACTCAGGAGATGTGTTATCTGCAAAGCAAACATTGGAAGAAGCAGGGTTCGTAGAATCGTGGAATTGTAGAGTTGGAAGAGACCCCAACTCTATACTAAAGAAAAAAGAAAAAAGGATCATCTAGTCCAATGCTCTGCAATGCAGGAATCCTACCCTCAACCGTCCCTGGGTGGGCTTGAACCACCAACCTTCTGGTTAGCAGCCAGACTAAATGGAATTGCTAGGAGCGTTTCAACATCACTTACCTTATTTTTATCATCCACCGATGCTGCTTCCAGTATATAGTCCTGGCGTCCATGGAAGTTAATTCTGAAACGTCTTCCTTCACTGTATGCACAGGATTTGACTTGGGGAAACGGGAACTGTTTTTTGATTATCCCTTTCTCTATGTTAAAAATTGTCTCGGTGCTCAGATCAATCTGCGGGGGAAACAGTGATTTTTCTTGGTGAGGTATTTTTCACGGCCAGTCTTTTCTCCCTAGTGAAGAGCCAACAGCCTCTCCTCAAATTAAGATGCGCAGCCGTTTGGTTTTTTTAAAAAAAAAGACTGAGAAAATGTATCTTTTTATTGATGATAATAATCAAGACAAACATTCTCTTCATCACTTAGTCACCATAACATATTTATTTAAGTTAGTGACCGAATAGAGATTGATTCTGTCTGCTGCTTCCTTATCCCGTTTTCTTGTGATAAATATGCATCGATTTATCATTTTGAAGTGTTATTTCCTTTGAAATTTTCCAGCCTCTTGCTCTACCTAAGGCAAGAACCTCAGCTTGCATGGAAGGATATTAACCAGATGCAAATGCTTGATTCAGTCTAGTACCTTCACTTGCACCATCAGGGAAGGATTTGAGGGCCGATGTCCAGGGGCCCTTTAACAGAAAGGACTCCAAATGCAGCTAGGCTGGCTTACCTTGTTCTGAAGTGAAGCAATATGCATTGAAATCTAAAAGAGGGAGACCGTTAAGTCTAGACTCTGAATACCCTGCTTCACAAAGAGTGGGAGGGACACAGAGCTGTCTTCAGCATATGCGGCCCCAGGGTGCAAAGATTCGCCTGGCATCTGTCCGTCCCCAATTGCCCAGTCCCAGGCGTGAAGGAAAGTGGAGCCGGCCAGCCGCCTCAGCATCTCGCTGGCTCAGTCGCCCCTGAGCTCGCAGCGCAGAGCCGCCTACAGCAAAAGAGCCCACCGCGGCCCTCCGGCCGATGGGCGGGCTATTTCCTGGACTCAAATCTCCGGCCCCGGACTCTCAGCCTGGCATCCCTGAGAGCCCCACGCCCGGGTGCTCTGCACCCCTAGCACCTATGGTTAAGACGGCCCTGCATGGACATACTTGAAGATGTGGGGAGCAGTTGCTGGGAAAGGACACACAATTCCCTCTGCCCTCTGTGTTCTCTCTTTCTCTCCCCCAGTTCTTTGTATTTAATTGTTGGCACCTGTCTGTCTTGAGAGACAATGGAGTGCACTTCCAGTCAAACCACTATGTTAGCAGCACCAAAGTGACCTCCCTGGGGCATGAGGCTGGGCAGTGTGTATGGAGGTCCTGGGCTGCCCAGATGACAAGACACTCCACCCCCTCAGCCTCACTGATGTGGTATAAAGTTTAGCAGAGCAATACGTTTGGCAAAAGCACTCAACGCACATAGACACCCTATCTGCATCTCCTCTTTGTCTCTTTCCCCCCAAAGCTGAACACACATTCAGCTCATTCTTAGAGAAAAATGAAATCTGAAGAATCACTCTAAAAAGCATCCTTCGCCAAGGAATATCCTTCACATATTCACCAAAGCGCTTATATTACTATACTGCTTCTATTACGAGGACATTCATTCCTTATGTATCACACCCATTTTACAAATTCCCAGGTACGGTAGATAACTTTTACAACTCCCTCCTTTTTTCACTTTGAAATCACTAACCAAGTGGCCCCATTCTGTGCGTCAGCCCCAGGGATGGTTAAATCTCTCTACCCGCCAAACCAACACTCAGCGATGCATTCTAAGAGTGACAACGCACACACATTACTTAGTCCTTCTTTATGGTGTGCTGCTAATTCCTAACACTCTTTTGCTGCTCTGTAAACTGCAAATCGCAAATCGCATTTGTTTGACTGTAACTTAGTTACTGATCTGTGGCCATAATAATAATAAAGACTGAAAGATGTACCAATCTGCAGAAAACAGGGATCATTGGAAGGTTGGGTGGGGGTTGTTATCTCAGCTTAATAACTCACGAAAATAAACTCAAGTTTGTTTGTTTTTAATTGAACTGAAAGGAGTTGCATTAGGCCACAATCTTACACAAGCCTCATTGAATGCACTGGAACTTTACTCCCTCCACCTTACATAGGATCAGGCCCCCCTGCTTGCCTGCTTCAGCAAGAAGGCAAAATGTGCTATGCTCCACCCACTTAGAAACTACAGCTGAGCAGGCAGCTTCCAAGCGAGCCCCTATCAGCTGAAATCCAGGTGCTTCAGATCTTGGGTGTCTGTCTTCTGCCAAGCCCACTGGGCTTGTACACCACCAGCCATGCTAAAGGGCAACCTTTTGCTGCTTTGTTTTTGCTTTGATGTTGAAAGCTCAGCCTCCCCACTGAGCTTCCCTACTGAGCTCAGTCCGGAACTAAATTAACCCTGTATTTGCTGGTGCTTACTATTAGCAAATGAATTATCCATTTGCCATCCGGCTGTGAATACTTGAAAGCCTACTCCCTGCCTTGCAGACCATTTCCCACCTGGCCCAGAAGGGAAGGACCCCAACTAACTGACCGACTGACTGACTGACTACAACAGCTGAGGTTGCCGAACAGACTCTTGGGCCAGGATGTTGCGGCTATTGGGGTTTTGCATCTTTATTTTAGTTTCGTTGTGATTTACGTGGAAATGGTTCAGTTTTTTGTTTTTGTTTGGTTTTTTTAAAGTTTAATTTATTGCTATTGACTGCTTTTGCTATGCTGTAGCTGTGTATTTTTTATATTGTAAACTGCCTTGAGAGGTAGGCATCTGAAACTTTTCCTGCTGTGGGAATTTGGAGGGGGGGGACAGAGAAGTGGAAAGTTACCCTTGAATTTGTTCTCTTGAATTTGGCTGGGCAGCTGCTTAAAGATCCAAGATCGCTTCCAGAGGGAGAGGAGATTGCCAACTCTGCTCCACTCGAGAATGGCTTCCTTCCATTTTTGTTATTATTATGGCAAATGAATTTATTGTGGTTGAGTTTTACTGGGCAACAGATACATGCACTGAGTACCGACTGACAAGCCATTCTGACTCTAGTTGCTATGCAGAACCTGAAAAGAGGTTAAGGAGTTGATTATGACTGTTCTTCCCAGGACAGTAGTATTTGCAGGCTGTTGCTTATAGCTAGACAAGCCATTATAACACCAGTCGATTGCTATACTTTCACACAGTTTGACTTCTGCTTTCCAAGATAGATACCATGCAGAAGCAATCTGATTATCTGAAGGCAGCTCACTGGAAGATTATCCATGATGTATTGTTCACAAAGGGCCAGAATATCTTGTTTTGGTGTTGAATAAAAGTGATGACATCATGCCTCGCCCTAAGGTACTTTCCACCTCTCCACCAGGGTAATTCTGCTAGGAAATGACCAATGAAAAGCAAGCTAAGGAGGTATCTTCAAACAAAGAATTCCCCTGTGCTGTGAGTTGTTTGCACAGCAGGATACAGTCAGAGATGAAAATCACAGCCAGGAGTATTGACTGTCTCACTCCAGTACACAGCATTGATTTCTAATCATGTGTGAAAATGTAGTAAGTGGCTGAAAGAGAGAACACACTCCAGGCTGGACAGCTAAGCAGTAGCACTAAACCTACACACTGTGATTTCCTGCCGACTAATTATTAAATACTTCCAAATTTCAGCAGCAAGGGAGGCAGAGCTTCTAATGAACCTGATGGCAAACAAAGGTTTGGTTGGTAAGCCATTGACTGGAAATTGATTAGGGGTCAAAGTATGAATGATGAGAGAGGTTCATTTTATTTTATTTTTGCTGTTTGTGGGTGTGCATTACAGTGAACGTTCAAACTGTGCTGAATGCCAACTTTAACAAAACAATCCTAAATTAATTTTGCCGCTGCCTGATTCTGTCCAAAGATGGATGTGGAAGATGCCTGATTATTACGGTATGATTGCATCTTAAATGGGTTTTCAGTTCCACGGGTTCTGTATATACATGAAAATCACATATCCAAACCCTTGGAGCTGCCCCAGTGCTAGCAGATGAGGGGGAAAGAGAGAGAGAGAGAAAACTAGGGATGCTCTCACAAGAACTCTGAGCACCCTTGAGATCTTGCAAAAGCATCACAGAACTAGCATGCTGAGCAAGCCTTGAACTCCACACACACCCCAGCCCAAAGTAAGGCAGAGGGCTTAAAAGCTCTTTCTGCACCAGTAAACCCAAGCAGGCCCAGTGCAAATAGATCTTTCAAGGTCTCCGCCTTCCTTGGATTTAACTTGTGCAATTGTATGAAATCGCACAAGTTAAACACAAGTGAGATGCAATTGTACTGTGCATGAATTTGTTGCAAAGATTGAGGTCAGTTTCTCCTACTACTTGGGAAATGGTGTGAGGTTTGCTGCTTTAGTTCCTGTTCCATGTCTTGAAACGCACACACTGTTTTTGGATCAACACTTTTGACTGCATGCATGCATGAAAAAATAAAATCCCTGCATAGAAAAAGAGTAAATCAGGAAGAAACGTTTTCATTGGCCTGCCTGTTCTGTAGGTGCTGAAATGTTTTAGATGGAAAATTCCATAGACACACATACCACCTGCAGCTGGAAGTCCAGGAAGAAATTTATCTTAGCAAAGTCACTTAAATAACACAGATGGAGACAAGAGAGAAAATAAATCCTGGTTACACTGTGCTGTGGTAACACAGGAAATCTGGACAAAAAATGTATGATTTGAGGAGACATAAGCAAAGAGGTTTTGTCTTTCTTACATTGCAGGCAGCCATTCAACCAAACATACAGAAGAAAAACTCCCTCAAGATGCATGCTACCTCAGTGAAGATCACGCCATGCTGCTTGGTCATAAACACCACCACCTCCACCCTCTTGGGTAGTTGACTAATACTGTGAAGGCAATTAACCATTAAGTTACACACTGAATAATCCCTTCTGTTGCACTTCCAACACTTTACCACTTATAATTCAGTGGAAAGGAATGGCCTGGCCCTTTGACTTTGGCAAGACTCATCATGGATATCCATCACATAACCTGCAAGTTAGAACACACAAATCATGGAGAGTTTCACCCATAAACTGTTGTGTTTGGAAAAGGGGAGAAGTTACATTTGTAGAGTTACCTGCAAAATCCTTTTCTGCCACCGGTAGCGGTTATATTTGTAGACAATGAAGTTGAATTGCGAGCTGTTTGGCAAGTCCAGGGAATCCTGCAAGAGATTAGCGTGCTTGAATAAGTCATTGCTCTCCTTCTGTTCATCTTACTGCACTGTTCCCTTTTGTGTCTCCATGATTTGCAGCACATCTGCCCTGGGATGAATTGTAGCACCTTAATGGATTGATTTTTGGAAGTGTTCAGCATCCACAAATCCTAATGATTTGTGAGCAGTGGGAACTTGGAGCATAAAAGGGAGAGGAAGGGATCTGTAAGCAAACCAGCCAAGACAGATAAAGGGCAGGCCGCTAGTTCAGAATAATGCAGAAACAAGGTGTTCCATATTCACAAATCAAAGTTGCCTATTTAATCCTATTTATGTTTGCAATCTGAGTAACTTGGCAAATTGTAAACACTTTCAATAGCTCTCCTAAGAGCTATTGAAAGCACTCCCGATTCCATGGGCTGCTGTTGGAGCCAATTACTGTGGCTGCTGTATCAATGCAGTGGCGCAATTTTATGTACTGTGCTTGCAACTCAAGCTGACCTGGAGCTGCCAAACACGAGCCATAACTTTCATCGTCAGGTAGGCTGGGGCGACACCACACAGCATGTGCAACAAACAATTGGTGGAAGCAGCAGCAGCAACAACAACAACAACAACAACAACAACAACAACAGCAGCAGCAGCAACAACAATAGAAATGAAAAGAGGGCTGCAAAAAGAAGGGAGGAGGAAAAGGAACAGGCAACGAACAATGATAATCAGTAGCTGCCATGTATGAATTACAGCCATGCCTTATTGGCTTTCCCTGTAGCATTTTCCCAAGGAATAGAACATTGAAACAGAGCAAAATCTCAGATTGTTCAGAGCCCCTCTGACGGATGGATGAGGGGCACCTTGAAAGGGGAGGAATGGCTAAATTCCAGGGAAGAATGAGATTCTACATCAGAGACAGTCTTCCTTCTCTCACCAGGCAAGATGCGGATGGGTTGAATGCAGCCCTGCCATCAACATATGGACTTTCTTGGGCAGTTGTTTGGGTCCCATTATGTCACCGACTGGTTGGATGTGAAGGAATGGTGGGAGGAGCCAGCTGGGGAATCCCCAAGGGAAGAAGACTCAGAGGCCGGGGTGGTGGGATGACAATGAATAATCAGAGGGAGAAGGTTGGGAAAGAGCAGGTGTCAGAAGATGAAGAGGTAACCGGGCTTAGTGTCAGGGAAGAGCCAGAACGTGCTGCTCCGTCAGTAGCAGGGGAGGTTTCTGAGCAGGAACTGTCAGAAGAGGAGGACAGGGAAATGACACATGAAGCAGAACAGGGGGCAGAGAGTAGTCAGGTGGAGCAGGGGGTCAGAGATGGGGAAGAGCCCTATAACCCACCAGAGCTGGGAGAAGGAAGTTCAGACTCAGAAAGGGGGGGAGCATTCACATCAGCACAAGCAAGGAGGGAAATGAAACGCAAAGATCAAAGACGTCTCATGAGGTTTCCATGCCTACTTCGCTGGCGCCGGAATCGAAAGAAGCCACTCCCCGAATTTGACTCGACAGGCTCGGACGCATGATTTTGAACTGTAGCTGTTCTTTTGTATATATGTAATAAAGACTGTAAATATTACGCTGAGTGTACTGGAGTGTTACTGCGAAGAGGGAACACCACCTTGACACTTAGTGAGTTGGGAGAGTCTGTGGCGGAGAGAAGTATCAGCTTCTGATTATGTATGATTACTGCATAAAATCATACATAAATATAAATAAATAAAATATGTTTTGTTAGTAAACATATTGCACATGGAAGGAAGGTGGGGTACCTTACCGCCCATGATGCAATCTGCTTTTCTTCTTTTTCTTCTGCATTTCTCTCTCTTTCTGCTAAATCCAGGGCTTCTTCGATGCTCAGTTCTTTGTTTTTCACCATGTTCATAATTTTCAAGATTTTTCCTTGGCTTAGCTTGAGAGAGAGAGAGAGAGAGAGAGAGAGAGAGAGAGATGTTTTTGAACAATAAAAAATCATTGAGCGGGGAGAACGATGTTCGCCCTACCCACCTGGCAAGTCCGGCTACAGCAAGGCTTGTGACAACTGCATTGGCAGTGTATCGGTCATAAAATTACTATTTCATTCATATTTTATGTTTTATCGACAACTTGCCCAGCAAATATAATCTCCCTTTGAAGCCAAGCAGGAGCCTACAAGATATCAAATATACAGGGCTTTGTATGTTTTTGAAAGACAGGGTGGTAGTATTTGGCACTCAGATTGCTCCGAGGAAATCTCCCTGGCTTGGCTGAGCCTAGCAAGAAGGAAGGATATCAATTCTGAATGCTTTGTGCCGGAGTCTCTCTCTGCTTGCACAAAGCACTGCATAACAAATAGCAAGAAGCTAAACTGGTAACATCAGATATTTAGAGGGGACACAGCTAGTTTTGTGTATGGAAATGTATTCGCTTCGGGTTTTAGCTGTCTCTGAAACTTGTCGGAAAATGTTGCCCGTTGAACATAAATGAAACAAAAAACCAGGGGAAGCTGTTCATAACATTACTCAACAGGGATATTATTTATTGCTCTTAAATCAACAAACACAATCCTATGGCTCCTGGGAGAGCATCCTGGGGGCAATAGGATTTTGCAGACAATGGAAATCTTTTTTTAAAGGAATAACTTGGCTAACTTACACCCCACCTAACCTTCTGGTCTACCATGGCAAGACCAGCAGTGCTTTGGATTTTGGGGGGTCATCTGCCTTCAAGTTCCCCCTTTCCTGGCCAGGTAGGATTACACAAAACAAGTTAAAGGTTATTCAGCAGTCCTTGATGAACTTAGTCTTTGCCAATTCCTGTGCAAAATGACCTCTAATCTGCACATCTTGAAACTAATAGGCAAATCAATATCCACTGAGTTTCACACTTCTCAAGTTTTATTGAGACAAATATTCTGCCTGTTCAGATATAGAAGAACCCTGTCATGTGGTCCCCAGTCCTCCAACTGGCAAGAGGTTTCAGGGACACAAGACTACTTGGGTTGGGTACCCATTGCAAGGTGGCCATTGGAGGGCTACTGGCATCTTGTAATATTTGTTTTTTGTTTTTGCAATGTAACAAGCTTTATTAATAGTCTTATAATACATTACATATATATATAGTACATCTTGTAGAGTAAACTGAGATTTCGGGCTGAAACAGAATGGATTAGAATAAACACATATTTCAAAACATTTTTTTTAAAAGCCCAGAAGCATATTGTAGCACAATAATGGGTAAGAAACATGCAAAAGTGATCCTGATCATAAACTGACAGATATGTCCATCCCACAGCTTATTAAAAAAAATAGGATGGAACTAGATGTTATCTTGGTAGAGATGTGGTGCCCAGTGGCAGAGCTTCATGCTCCGGCACCGGAGGGTGGAGAGCAGGTGGTGGCGGGACTGACGCACGTCCTGGGGGTGGGGCAAGGCGTCTGCAGGGGCGTGGTGCCCAGCACGGGCGGGGGGGCAGCCGCAATGGCACCCCACAGGGATCGTGCTGCCGGGGACGGTGCACTCCTCTTCCTCTGCCAGTGGTGGTGCCAGCACAGGGGCTCAGAGGAGCATATTTAGGGAAGGATAGAGAGGCAAGAAAGTCTCATTTTGGAGCCTGCATGGGGGGGGGCAGGTATGAAAATGCAGGGGGCAACATTTCCATGCCAGAATTGAAAAGGAAAGAAGCATCCCTTCTTCCTACTCCTCCTTCAGTTCTTCTCTCAAAGGGAAATCCTTTTGTTTAGGTTTGGTAAGACCTCAGTATCAATCTGATAATCACTGAGGGCTTCAACCTTTGAAAGGGGAGCTCAAGGCTATGGCTGCAGGCTAATTCTTCATGGTGTGCACAGCCACACACAGGTTGCTTCCAGACTGCCACTATTTGGGGGGGGGCAGGATTTAATCACATCCCCGCAAATTCAGTTGTGTAAAAACACAGTTAAGTGACAGGAAAACGGACCTGGAAGTGTGGGATAGCACTTTTTTGAGGCAACATCATCTACCCTCCCCACAAGCAAATCAAAAATAGATGCTCATTAAATAGGCAATATCATCTAATCTCCCTGCAAACAGATGAGGATGAATGCTCAAGAAACCACAGCTTGCTTATAAAGGCATTATTTTTCCTTTTTTAAAGAAAACCATTTATTATTATTTTCATTAAACACTACCAACAACAAATATAAAACCACGCAGAATCATTTCAGTTGCAAGCCCGTACAAAGCAAAACACAGCAAAGAAACAGGGAAAGTATCTACCAGTGTAATATTGGTAAGCACTCTGCTCTCATGCATGCTGTGATTCATTCTGTTGAAAGAATCCTGTGCCTCATGCATTACCCTGCTTTCAGTCAACTCCCATACAGCCTCTCCATGGAGGGGCTTGACAGGCCGGAAGATATAGAGTACGCTGTCCCTTCTTTATGAAGCAAAAGAACAGAAATCAAAGCTGTCCCATTTTGAGACACCCTTTAAAGCCCTCCTTCTCTGTGTAAGGCCATCCATGTCTGTGTTCCAGACGGGATTAATCCAGGTGTCCATTAGGGGCTCCGACTTGGCTTTCCAAGGAGGAGCAACAGTCAGTTGCTCTGCGCCAACAATGGCAAAAAAACAGGAGGTTCTTTTTCTAATTGCCACTTCCTTATATTCTCCTCCCTGGGGAGGGATCGGAGCCCGTGCTTAGAGTGCAAAAAGTGATGGGGGGTGTTATGTATTCAGTGGTCTGTGTTTGCCTAAGCTTGAGGCTGGACTAAGGATTCTGAGCCCCTGTGTTCTGATTCGATACATGATATCCAATCACAGAACATTTCAGGATTCTGACTTTTGATTCGCAGCTTGGAAGTTTGGACAGCCAATCACGTTGGGAGTGGGAGTGTCTGAGGCCTTAAGAAATGTATATAAGCGGTTGCTTAGCCCCTGTTGTCCTGTTCTGTTTGTTCTTGCTGTTATCACTGTGTCTTGTCTTGTGGGAACCCACCTACACTTCAGGGCAAACTTCTACCCGTGATCCACAGCAAGTCGGAATGGAGAATGGTGAGCTAGCTCTGGTGCAAAGCAGACAAGAACAGACGAAGTCCCCTGATGAACTGAACCAAAGGCCCATCTACCCCAACTTCATGTCCTCACAGTGGCTAATCAGATGCTCATGAGAAGCCCGCAAGCTGTTTGTTTGGACTAGATGATTGCCAGGATCCCTTCCAGTTCTATGATTTTATGAAACGGAACCTGAGTGAAGTGGCACACTGCCCAACTTTGATTCCCAGCGACTGATATCCTTTTCCTTAGTCGGAGATCCTCATATGTTTAATTGAAACAGTTCTGCTTCTCTGCGGTGTGACTGCAACATGGAATGGCCTTCTTAATTCTCTTCATAATGTATGAAGACAAAGCATTTTCAGGAAGGAAACAAGTCTCTTCCCCCCTCTTTTGTAGATCCCCCCCCCTTGAAAGATTAGTTATGAAGTTTGCTTACTGCTGTTGGAGGCATTCCCCAGAGACAGAGGAAAGGAAAACAATGCAGGGGGGAGTTCTCTTAAAAGATGTTGCTTTTTGTTCACAATCTCAGTGCAATTCTGTAAGCAGATGTTGGAGGGATAAGAGAGTGTTTTGGTGTGTGTGTGTGTGTGTGTGTTTTTAACAAAATAAAAGAAGGAAATGACACTTCTGTCGGCGAGATTTCTCAGAATTATTTGCCTGAAGACTTCTGATTTAACTGATCTTTCTGACAGCAATAAATTAATTCAGTATTTCTTTTTAAAACTTGAAAACAAGTACTTGAAAGGAAGAAGTACGTCCTGACATTTTTCATTTAGCAACTAGATGGTGTGTTTTTCTTCTCCGCTCTCCTCTCCGTTGTGCTCAGAACATTTCTTTTCCTCCCCCAACCGCCCTGTTCTTCAATGGATAACAGGTTTCTTCCAGTGAAATGTCACAAAGACAGATGATTGTTCAGAGGTCTAACAAAATGTGACTGGTGAAACCAGATGTAATGAACCAGACACAGGGCCGCGAACTGAACTCGGTGGCAACTTGTTTTCAATCGAGCAAGCCTTGAACTGTAGCACCGGGAGGCACCTGAAGGTCTTCTAGCTCAACCCCTGGAACAGAGGCTGGCTGACACACACTCAAACTTCATTAACTGACAAGCAATTTAAAGCATCTTCCATGTTGCAGTACAATCTGTCACTTCTGCAGCTCCCAGCTGCATGCATTTCCCATCCCTGCCTGTTCTTTCTCCTACTTTTTCTTACAAATACTTATTTCTGTTAGGATGGCGTCATACACCCCACCAAAAAGGAAAAGACAAAAAGAGGGGGAGAGAAATCAAGGCACACTTTCCCATAAGCTTTGCTCATTTATATGTACAGGTGCAAATTTAGTAATAATTGCTGTCCTTCAAACAGAAATGCAGTACCTCCCATGTGTAGAAGGCAATGGCCTGTGGGTCAGCTGTTGATTTAGAAGACATCTGAAGACAGCCTTGTATAGGGAAATTTTTAACGTTTGATGTCTTACTGTGTTTTAATTTGTTGCAAGCGACCCAGAGTGGCTGGGGTAACCCAGTCAGATGGGTGGCATATAAATAATAAATTATTATTATTTTATTATTATTATTACTTCAAGGTGCTCTCCCGTCTAAGGTTCTTTACCTTTAAACCAGACTCAAACCCCACAACCCTTCAAAAAGAGGGCTAACCTTTGCAAAGTAGGATGTGTGATCCTCATCCCTTTCACTCTCTGCCTCATCTCTTTGGCAATCACTTGTAGCTGAATAAGATTGTCTTCCATAAGCCCGGTTTTAACAGTGGGTCCGTAAGTGACTGTGGAGGCCAGTTCTGGATCCACACGTCCCACAGTGGGGATATAGGTTTACAGGCAGGAGTTGATCACGGTGAGGGTTTGCCAAGCATGCCTTCCTCTTAGCACGTTTCTCCCTTTTGTCCTGAGTTTGAGCATCTTCAAAGTCTTTGAAGAGGCCTTTGGTAGAGGCTGTTCTCCAATTGGAGTGCTCACAGGCCAATGTTTCCCAGTTGCTAATGTTTATTCTACATATTTTTAGATTTGCCTTGAGAGAGTCTTTAAATCCCTTGTTGATCATCAACATTACGCTTTCCATTTTTTAGTTCGGAATAGTTGCTTTGGAAGACAATAATCAGGTATCCACACAACATGATCAGTCCAATGAAGCTGATGTTGAAGAATCATTGCTTCAACACTGGTGATCTTTCTTCTTCCACTACATTGGCATTAGTTTGCCTATCTTCCCAAGTGATGTGTAAACATTTTCGGTGACACTGTTGATGGAATCTTTCGAGGAGTTAGATATTATAAGTGGTCCATGTTTCTCCATGCCTTTTTTACAACCTTCAAATCTTTGGCACTTTGTCCCTTGGTCTGGAGCCTGGTGTCTTCTCTAACATCTCCTTCTATTCTGCCATGCCTGGCCTACTGTGAGAATCAGGCAACTCAGCCAATCACTGCCACAGGCTTTTTCACCACAGTCAACATCACCACTAAGGCCACGAAATTAGCTGGGATTCCTGCATAGCAGGGGGTTGCTCTAGATCAGTGTTCCCCAACCTTGGGCCTCCAGCTGTTTTTGGACTACAATTCCCATCATCCTTGACCACTGGTCTTGCTAGCGAGGGATGATGGGAGTTGTAGTCCAAAAACAGCTGGAGGCCCAAGGTTGGGGAACACTGCTCTAGATGACCCCTGGGTCCGTTCCTACTCTATCATTCTATGATATCCATTATAGCAGAGGTGGCTAATCCCCAGCCAAGGAGCTGGATGACCACCCTTCTCCCCATCAAAGTATATGTAGTACTGAGTTGGGATGAGAGGTTTAAATCTGTCCTGTTAGGGATGCAGATAGTCCCCTCCTCAGTCATCAGATGTCACATTTGATAATTATTTGCTGTATTTGGGGGGTCTCCAGCTCATTCTGCTGAGTGTGGACCTGGGCTTCTGCCCTGAATTTCTGCTCTGACAGTACCACTGCACAACTTGCTTCTTAGCCAGATTGCCTCCATGAAGCATACAAGCAGACCAGGAAAACTGAAGTGTTTGTCCTTGGCATCTGCTACATCAGGGTATACTGCCATGGATCAAGGAGGTTCTACTTTAGATGCAAATGAGCAAATGCCTTTTGTTGCTGTCCTTTTGTAACTCTGGAGAAGTAATGAGTCTAGAAACAATGATGCCAACAGACTGCAGACAATGAGAAGAGAACAAATGTGGAATTGTCTGGCAAACAAACGTCATTAATATCAACCAGCTTTTTAAGCAAGCAGATGAAGCCAGCAGACATGTATATAAACAGTGCCAGAAATGTTAATAAATGTTGCTTTTCATATCCCAAGACTATAAAATGTAAAATATTCATGCCAAATGTGTGACTCATGTAGATATAACAATATCTTCCGTTCAGCGATCATCAAGCCAGTTTAGTCCATTAAAACCATTTAGAGTACAAAGCTATCACTGAAATTGTTTGTAGATTTGATCAGCATGTCAGCTGAGTGAGGAATTAAATGTGCAAAGTTTATTTTACCCTTTTTTAATATTCAAAGCACATCCTAACATGTCACTGAAATAAGAGGCAAACGCATGCGAATGCCTTTTTAATGGAACGGGAGAGCATCTACAATAGACCAATAGGTGTGGTCCTTGCTCCAGAAGTTGCCAGTTCCCATTGTGGCAAAAGCCCACAGTGAGTCCTCCAAAATTAAAAGCCCTCCTAGTTCTGCTCTTCTATTTCATAATCCAGGTGGGAGGTGGCAAAGCTGCCTCCATATCTGAGTGGGCCTTGGGGCAACGGACCTGGGGATCAGTGCTCCTTCTTATGTTGAGGGACACCCCCCCCAGACTTAGCTGCAAGTGATGGTGGCCCCAGTGGCTGGTGGCTGCCATCAATTTCCCACATTGCTTGGGGTGCTTAGCACAGTGTTGTTCCAAGGCATTGTGGGAAATTTAAATGGAGCCTGCCCACTGTAAGGGGCTCAAGGCACACATCAGAACTGGGGGGCTCTGCTAGGGCACTGGGGTCCAGGCAGCTGGCATAAGCTTTCAGGTGCTGCTGGCAGGCCTGGGAAACTGCATCGCTGAGTAGCCCCTTACAGCAGAGCTGGATTTAGGGTGGTGCAAGCTATGCAGTGAGAGCTGGACCATAAAGAAGGCTGATTGCTGAAGAATTGATGCTTTTGAATTATGGTGCTGGAGGAGACTCTTGAGAGTCCCATGGACTACAAGAAGATCAAACCTATCCATTCTTAAGGAAATCAGCCCTGAGTCCTCACTGGAAGGACAGATCGTCAAGCTGAGGCTCCACTACTTTGGCCACCTCATGAGAAGAGAAGACCCCCTGGAAAAGAACCTGATGTTGGGAAAGATGGAGGGCACAAGGAGAAGGGGACGACAGAGGACAAGATGGTTGGACAGTGTTCTCGAAGCTACCAGCATGAGTTTGACCAAACTGCGGGAGGCAGTGGAAGACAGGAGTGCCTGGCGTGCTCTGGTCCATGAAGTCACGAAGAGTCGGACACGACTAAATGACTAAACAACAACAACAACAACAAAGCTATGTAGTCACACCAGGCGCGCAGCCGAGGAGGGCACTTTCTCAAATCCCAGTAAGCACTTGCTCGGTTTCAGGAAGGAGGCTTGAATGTTCTGACTGGGTACTGGAGTCTTCCTTCCTCCATCCCCAAGCTGGGCAAGTGCTTACTGGGCATTGGGAAGGAGATGGGAGGGCTCTAGGACCCTGTCAGAGCCTCACACCTCCTTCCCAAACCCCAACAGCAGCAAGAGCCCATGGCCTCAATAAGGTGGCATATTACCAAGGTCCACACCTGCTTACAGCAAAAACAACAACTCCCTGCATATAGAAAACTAGCAAGGAAGCAGTGCACCTTCAGGTCACCTGAAGGTGGTGCCTCAAAAGGCCTTAGTCTACTTCCAATCCTTTTTGGAGCAAGTTGTTCACGAGGCGCTTTGCTCCTCATCCTCATCTTGCCCATCTGAACTCCCTTTTACCATCATTTTGGGTTTGCCCCAGTGTCTTCCACTCCTTCTGTCTTGGACAGAGCATTTCACTCTAACTTCTGACTCTAACTTCTCTTGCCACTTTTCAATCCCAGAAAGGTTTTATTTTATTTTCCTCCCCCTGTGCATGGAGGAGTCGTTTGCCTACATATAGAGACATGCATCTCACGCAAGGATGGCAGCAAGGAACCCTGGGGGCACGTGCTGGGCAAGGGAACAAGCTGCAGCTTAAGGAAGGTAATTCGCACTCAGACCGCACAAACAAATCAAGCACCAGGAGTGGGGGGAAATAGAAGGTTAAATGTAGGTTTTTACACGGAAAAGAGGACACAGCAAGGCAAACTTGGGTGCCTGGGTTTTTAAAAGCAGTAAAGCAATGAGTGCACGCAAGCCTCCTAAAGTTAAAAGGCAAGCCAGGAACCAGGCAGCCTCCACACACACCGCCCCCCCCCCCCGACTCCAAACCTCGTGGCTCTTCCCTGTGATGAGTGTGATGACTCCTAGCTGATGACTCACGACGAGAGGATGGAGAAGAATGAGGCCGAGGAGAGGCTGGCACCGCCACAAAAGGCTGCTGAACACGCCCCCTTGAAGGCACCTGGTTGGATGCCTGCCAAGGGGGCGTGGGCGCCAGCCAGGTGAGAGGAGGAGGCAGGGGGCTAATGCCCCCTGCTAGGGGCGGTGCTCGGGCTCCCGCCCACAACCACTCCCCTCTCTTCCAGGGAGGAGAGTCTTTGTTCACGAGGCGCTTTGCTCCTCATCCTCATCTTGCCCATCTGAACTCCCTTTTACCATCATTTTGGGTTTGCCCCAGTGTCTTCCACTCCTTCTTGGACAGAGCATTTCACTCTAACTTCCGGCTCTAACTTCTCTTGCCACTTTTCAATCCCAGAAAGGTTTTATTTTATTTTCCTCCCCCTGTGCATGGAGGAGTCGTTTGCCTACATATAGAGACATGCATCTCACGCAAGGATGGCAGCAAGGAACCCAGGCTGGGGGCACCACATTTAGGAGAGTTTTAAGGTGATGCACCCTTCACTTTCTGCGTTTATTGTATTTCCATTTGTCAAATGGTTTTGGCAGGTTTTTGAAGTGCTACCCAAAAAGCCTGCAAAGCCTGTAAATATGAAATAAAGATTCACTCCATGAACACTGATGCTTCTCCGTGGACAATGGTGCTTCTATCCTATCACCTTTGGTTTGCACACTGCAGTCTGTCTCCTGCCATGGAGAATCTGCCAGGCAGCAGCAACCACCCTCAAGAGCATGAATCAACACCATGAGATCAACAAGCAGCTCATTCAGTAACCCACATTGCAGCATTCTCTGCATATGAATTAAGTCTTAGACCTGAATACCGTACTAAGATATGACCATGGGTTCCCCATCTCCACCCCCAAGCAAAGCTTCAGTAAGATTTTCCCTGGCAGATCGCCATTTATTATACCAGTGCACATTCTCTGTGCTGTCAGAATGGGATGCAAGGGACAGTGTGCTTTGCCACAGTAACAACAAGGAGGAAGAAGTATGGAAACAGTTTTGTTACAATTGGAGCTACAGAATACTTCATCAGAGCTGACAGGGCATGGCTGGCTTTTACGCTGCCTCAGCATTGCTGGCATGATAAAGTAGCAAAGAACAAGGCCCACTGGAAAAGCCCTTTGCAGCAAAGTGACCCATCACGAGAAATATGCTGAGGTTCCCCCCACTCTCATTCCACACGGACCCAGATCCCATTTGAACATGGCATGAAATATAGCCTGGGCAATAGGGAGCAAGGAGGGGGGAGAACCTCTTTGAAAAATTGCATTTTCATGCACAAGCTCACAAGACAATGCTAGTTTGCGCTGCACGATTTATATATAGGTGATCTATTTAAAAACAATCTCCCCACAGGTAGGCAGAAGGATGGGGAGGAGGGTTGCAAAGGAGAATGTGGTGGCTTGTAAATTGTCTCCATCTTTCTTTTGCCCTTTTCCAGGATCATGTTAAAAATGACAAAATACAACCTCAGTTGGACTCCTTGCTGCAAGGCGTAGGAAACTGCTGAAAAATGCATCCAACTATCTGTCCATCCAGTTCAAGGGATGCGGGTGGCGCTATGGTCTAAACCTCTGAGCCTCTTGGGCTTGCTGGTTGGAAGGTCGGCGATTTGAATTCCCATGTTGGGGTGAGTTTCCATTCCTCTGTCCCAGCTCCTGCCAACATAGCAGTTTGAAAGCATGCCAGTGCAAGTAGATAAATAGGTACCACTGTGGTGGGAAGGTAAACACCGTTTCCATGCACTCTGGCACTCGTCACAGTCCTCCATGTGCCAGTAGTGGTTTAGCCATGCTGGCCACTTGACCCGGAAAATTGTCTGTGGACAAATGCTGGCTCCCTCGGCCTGAAAGCAAGATGAGCATCACAATCCCATAGTCACCTTTGACTGGATTTAACCATCCAAGGGTCCTTTACCTTTTACTATCCAATTCAGTACTTTGTGCGCTCCAACCTACAGCACCTCTCCAGAGCTACCTGGTCCTTTAAAACTGAAGGTGCCAGGGATCAAAGCACACATTCTGCCACTGAGCTATGACCCCTTCCCTAGTACTGCTCACCCTTCAGCAGACAGAGCTACCCAATCCAAACTGCAGTGTGCCATGAGCAAGCCCTCGTCAGAAAAAGCGCAGAGCAAATTGCTTCAGGCATAACACAGCAGGCGAGACAAAGTCAAAATATAAATGAATGGAGATCAGACATTATTAACACAATGCTCGGTTGCTGGTTGGCCATTTCTGTGTTAGGTGGATCAGAGTTTGGCAGGTAACAACCTAGGGATGGCAGAATCAACATTTGCTTTTAAGCACTGCAAGAGGAAATGACGTTCACTCACACTTTCTGACACTGGGTGGCTCAGCCACCAGCACAGATTCTGTGGATGTTCATAGAATGCACAAATTGTAGCCCCCATAATCGCCTCCACAACTCCACATATATCCAGCCCATGATAACGATGAGCATTTTGCGAGTGATCAAATAATAAACAGGTAACTGAGCATTCAATTAACAAAATATTGACTGGTCAGCATGACTGGCTTCCTAACACTCGATTACTATCTTTTTCTTTCTTGCCAGCAGACCACAATCTGCGTTGATTTTGATAGAACAGCCACAATACCTCTATAACACCCCTTACGTATTTTTATTTTTGTTTTCATTTTCTGTAAATTTTAGCCCCGTCTCCGAGGCAGAAAGCGGCATTCCGTAATTGTTTGCAAACTGCCAAACCTTCTGCTGCTGGCTCCTTGAGCCGTCACAGAGTTCCCCTGTGCAGTTTCAAATGTTTATTACTTAATGAACTATGCATAAAATAATATAGAAAGCTGTTGACATATCCCTGCATCTGTTCATTACCTAGGTAATAATGCCCTGTGCCTTTTAATGAGTGATTAAAATTATCCAAAGTAATAAGAACTGTATTATCATATTGCTTATTAACATGATAATCCAATTAGCCTTGTGTTGAAACAATGATTATCAGGTTGTTAAACAGTGGCACCTAATTATTTTTAGAGACAGTCTGGTGCACTCTCAGCTCACAGGTCTGTATACTTGACCTGCCTTGTTCAGTGGAAAAGAACCAGTCTGTTAAGCACTAAAACAGATACTGTATGCGAAATTGCAGTTCTCTGGATGTTATTTGACTACGGCTCCCATGTTCCCTGACTGTTGGCTGTGTTGGCCGAGGCTGTGAGACTTGGACTCCTGGAGGGACAGAGGGGCTGCTTAGAAGTTCACTCAAGGCATTAAACAGAAGTTTCAGACCCAAAATCAGGAAGCCACAGGGAAGCATTGTGCTGATCTTCCTCCAACTTAACATAGTGGTTAGAGTGATGGACTACGACCTGGGAGACCAGGATTAAAATCCCCACCCAACCATGAAACTCACTGGGTGACCTTGGGCCAGTCACTGTCTCTCAGCCTAACCTACTTCACAGGGTTGTTGCGAGACTAAAATAGGGAGAAGGAGAACCATGTACAGCATCTTGAACACCTTGGAGGAAATAAGGAGGTGTAAATGAAAAGAAAAAGAACATGATCCAGCCTAACTAGGTCTCAGCATTCCAGTTTTCATTTGGCCACTAAGTTTATCCACTGCAAGATGATCAACTGGAGATCACCTTTTCAATAGTCTTGTTGAAGTGTTCAAATCAGCATACAGTGGTACCTCAGGTTACATACGCTTCAGGTTACATACGCTTCAGGTTACATACGCTTCAGGTTACATACGCTTCAGGTTACAGTCTCCGCTAACCCAGAAATAGTACCTCGGGTTGAGAACTTTGCTTCAGGATGAGAACACAAACCGTGTTCCGGTGGCGCAACGGCAGCCAGAGGCCCCATTAGCTAAAGTGGTACCTCAGGTTAAGAACAGTTTCAGGTTAAGAACGGACCTCCAGAACAAATTAAGCCAAGGTACCACTGTATAACATAATCCCAAGGTACCACTGTATAACATAATCTATAAAGAAACTGGTCCCAGGCTGTTAAGTGTTTTATATATCAATAATAGCACCTTGAACTCAGCCCAGTAGTTCACTGGCAGGCAGTGAATATATTTGAGCACAAATGTCAGTGTGGCATACTGGTTAGAGTGCCGGACTATGACCTGGGAAACCAGGGTTCGAATGCCCACTCAGCCATGAAGCTCACTGGGCGACCTTGGGCCAGTCACCATCTCTTAGCCTAACCTACCTCATAGGGTTGCTGTGAGGATGAAAATGGGAAGGAGGAGAACCCAGCAGTGGAGGAAGCCTATCGGGCACCTGGGGTGGTGCACATGCCCTGTGCCCAGCGGCGGAGGCAGCAACCTGCGGGGTGGGGCGAGCTGGGGCAGGACACTCCACAGGGACTCTGAGGAGTCTGCCTGCCTCCTCCCATTCAGCCGCCCTATAGCTGAGGGGGAGGTGGCGGGCGGACTGTTTGGGGCAGCGCAGGGCCTGCGGGCACCCAAGCTACCACGTCACTCCCAAGAGAAACATGTGGCTAAGGTGCGCTGCAGGACCCGCTGTGAGTGCCGCCCGCCATTTTGTCACCCCTCTCAGTGGTGACACCTGAGGCGGACCACCCCCACTCCCCTTCCTCCGCCCTGGGAGAACCATGTACACCACCTTGAGCTCTTTGGAAGGTAAAGAATATTATAAATGTAGTAAACAAACAAACAAACCATTGTGCTGCAGCATTTTGCGCTAACTGCAGTTTACAGGCCAAAAGAACTTCAATTTCTGTTCTGGGTGATCCTGCCTGTTCTAGATTTTCCAAACCTATCTGTGCATGAGTCCTGTTGTACAGTCTCATCACTTATGAAACCCTGCTCAACTTCTTAACTAAGGCCATTCATTGTTTTGTTTCTTAAGCTGTCAGAATGCCATACCACTCCCAATGCCCATTTAAGCAAGCAGCAGAAAAAGTTCAACAACTTTGGGGAAAACTAAAAAAAAAGCTCAACAACTTTTTCTGTCCAGATTCTCACTGTTTGAAATATGACAACCCTAATTCTGAGCAACCAGTGTTTGCAGGATTCTTTGTAACTGCATTTTCCAGATCCCGATCTGACAACAAAGCACAGTTGACAGCAGAGATTAGTGTGTTTGGAATTGGGCAGGGCACCCAATATTTATTCTCATCCTGAGACCACTATGAAGCCTGTCTAGGTCCAAGAATCACCCAAAGCCAGAGCCAGTCCTGGTATAATGCCAGAGTTGAGAGAAAAAACGTTATTTTCTATGCCTGACATCCAGCCATCTCTACAAAAACAGCTGTTGCTCACTGATCAAAGTGAATGTTCAGATTAGCAGTTCAGCATCTACTTATCACAAGAGATTGAGGAAGGATCTCCTTGAAATTACTGAGCATTCACCAAACGAAGCTCTCTCCAATATTTCATTCATAGTTCATTGAATCATAGAATTGTAGAGTTCGAAGGAGCCCAAATGAACTCTCTGCAATGGGGAATGACAGCTAAATAATCCCTGGCAGTTGACTCCCTGTATCCCATCACCTGAACTGGGCAAACCTTTGGAAAAGATCCAACAGCAACCAGCCTAGCACATTCAAGAACCTGTGATTCTTCCCAGTATCTAATACTCAAAGGTGTGCTGAATATGCATTATTGGCCTTATCAGTAGTCTATGACACTGTCAACATAATGGGTGCTTCCAGGCAACCTGTTTATGGAGCACTCCTCTGATTTGCTTGTGCAAAGTTTTCAGAAAGGTTGTATTAAGTTAGCTGCTTATGGCACAGTCATTCTGATTTGTTTGGCAGGGAAGGCTTAAGTCATGTCACATCAAGCACTAGCCGTCACACTCTGCAGGACACTTTCTGCCTCACTTTCCTTACTGCAAAAGTCCATTTTCCCTTTCTTTTCTTGGAAGCAGGTTTGTAGCCCGAGAGTGCCAGATCCGCACTAATTGTGCACCCCAAATCTGGGCATGAATCCCACCCATGAAGCAAGGACAGTCTGGAAGTGTGCAATGTTTAAGCATGGCTAAAGCAGTTGGGAAAATTTGCACTCCTAAAGGGAGGGGAGGGGTTTTGCCATCCCGCCGTGTCCTCTTTGAATTCTTAAGCAGTCAGTCAACACTACGTCCGATCTGGCTCTATGAGCAAAGTAATACTGACAAAGGACCTGCAGGTCTCCCCTCTCTTTTCTTAGTTGATAAAGGCTTGGGATAATCTAGTCAGGCGTAATAAAACCAGAAGGTGTATCACATCTGCTGGAACACAGCCCTGACACACTCACAACACCCCGTTTGCCGCTACTCGCTGCTTGCCTTTCTGACACTAGTGGCAAGCAATTTCCTTGGAGATGTTTGATCATTATTTCTTGCTCCGTTTGGCCGAGCACTTTAGCTGCCAAATGTTTTGACGAAGTGCAGCTGCCGACTAGATCGGCATCATAACTCCACTCATGGAATGACCCTGTTGCAAAAGGTCTTGTGACACCTAACCAAGATTCGCAGTCCATCTGGCTTATGAGCATTGTAGAATTGTGAGTAAAGAGACAGGGATGGATTCACAGCCAGCCCAGCGCTTGAGTTTAGCCGAGTCATTTTCGAGGGGTATTAAATGCTTGTCTCATTAGACATCTTGTCCAATTTCGACCTTGTTGCCACAATCGGAGTTTGGTAAAGAGATATAGATTGCAGTGGAGTGCAGAAATAAATAGTCTGGGGAGACTGCAGGTTGAAAGAATAAAGAAGGTTTAATACTCCTGGCAAACAAAGCCATTCTGAGTATAGGCTTAACTATGGCCATCGTGGAGTGATGAGGTTAATAAAAGGATGGCTCAACACTCACAGGCTGAAGAAGAAGCAGGAAATAAATAAAGAGAAAACAATGTGTAAGAAGTTAGGAAAGAATCAGCAAGGAAAGAATAGCTACTCGGCTCATTAGTAAAGAAACGGCGAATTGGATGAACTATAATTGGATGCACTATAAACATGCAACACCAGATGGCACCAGAGAGCAGGAAATTTTAAATGCAGTTTTCCATATATATATATTTTGCAGATGGTGACAGCAGTCATGAAATTAAAAGACGCCTGCTCCTTGGGAGAAAAGCAGTGACAAACCTAGACAGCATCTTAAAAAGTAGAGACATCACCTTGCCAACAAAGGTCCATATAGTAAAAGCTATGGTTTTCCCAGTAGTGATGTATGGAAGTGAAAGCTGGACCATAAAGAAGGCTGATCGCCAAAGAATTGATGCTTTTGAATTCTGGTGCTGGAGGAGACTCTTGAGAGTCCCATGGACTGCAAAAAGATCAAAGCTATCCATTCTTAAGGAAATCAGCCCTGAGTGCTCACTGGAAGGACAGATTGTGAAGCTGAGACTCCAATACTTTGGCCACTTCATGAGAAGAGAAGACTCCCTGGAAAAGACCCTGATGTTGGGAAAGATGAAGGGCACAAGGAGAAGGGGACGACAGAGGATGAGATGGTTTGATAGTGTTCTCGAAGCTACCAGCATGAGTTTGACCAAACTGCGGGAGGCAGTGGAAGACAGAAGTGCCTGGCGTGCTCTGGTCCATGGGGTCACGAAGAGTCAGACACAACTAAACGACTAAACAACAACAACAACATATTTTTCTTTTGTTAAAACGATCTAATTTCTGACTTATTTAAAGCTGTTTTTCCTGTGTTTAGATCCACCCTAGATGGGGACTTCCGAGCAGCTCCTGAAGCCAGCCAGAGACAACTGCTCCGGGCTGCTGAGACTGCCGCTGCTGCATTTCCCGGGGACATTAGATGAAATCTGGGGAAATTCCAGGGATGGAATATGTCCGGGGACTTATTTGCAAATCCGGGGACTGTCCCCAGGAAATGGGGACGTCTGGTAACCCTTCCCTAGATTGTCTTTTCTATCGGTCCCCCACTGGTTCATGTAACTTACTGCAAGCACTGTTGTTTTACTTCCAACAATCATACTTCCAATCAGAAGGGTTGTAGCTCAGTGGTAGAGCATCAGCTTTAAATGCAGAAGGTTCCAGGTTCAATCCCTGTCATCTCCAGGTAAGGTTGGGAGACCCCTGTCTGAATCCCTGGAAAGCCATTGCCAGACAGTCCATGTGGACAATACTGAGCTAGATGGAGCAATGGTCTGACTCTGTATAAGACAGGTTTCTGTGTACTCTAGCAAGTGATATCTGTGCACTCACATGCATATGGATGCAGATGTGCATTGCCATTCATATCCAGTCCCTACAGAACTTAATGGATGCGTCTCTTGCAGACATCGTGGAGGATGTTGTTATCCACACTATTAGTGCATGTGCACATGTCAACTAATATCTTACAGATACATTCGAAGAAATGTCGGTCTGGGTATCTTTTCTAGAGATGAGTGAACTCTGCAGACCTAGTTGCAATGCACATTTTTAGTTTAGAAACACCAATATTGCCTTGCTTATTTCTCTTATAAGCAGGAAGCAACAAGGATCAACCTAAATAATAATAATAATAATAATAATAATAATAATAATATTTATATCCCGCCCTCCCCAGCCTAAACCGGGCTCAGACCGGCTAACGACAGTAAAATAATACAACATTCTAAAATCATTTCATTATAAAATCACTTCAAATTAAATTAATGGCAACCATTGAGTTAGAGTTCTGTGAGGAGTGCCAAAGGAGGGGGTCAGACTGTGCCTTGGCCAAAGGCCTGGTGGAACAGCTCTGTCTTGCAGGCCCTGCGGAAAGATGTCAAGTCCCGCAGGGCCCTAGTCTCTTGTGACAGAGCGTTCCACCAGATCACCAGATTGGAGCCACAGCCGAAAAAGCCCTGGCTCTGGTTGAGGCCAGCCTAACCTCCCTGTGGCCTGAGATCTCCAAAACGTTTGCATGTGAAACTTCTTTATCAGCTTGAAGCACCAATACTGGAAGTGAAAATAGCAAAATGGATAATGGATGTAATTCACACAGGCTACCTACTCCCACGTGACATGGACCATAAACTTCTAAAGTTCATCTCATCAACCATGCACACTAGTTTATGGTGGGAAAATTCCCCAGGGAATTCCCCAGCTATTATGGATAGGCTATTTTGTAGGAACCACTAGAGCTTCTCTGGATGGGAGTTTACTTAGCTTGAACTATCACATGGTTCCCTTCAATGGTGCCATGCTCATTGCTCAGAGCAGAGCCAAAGTAAAGACATTATTTGAGAACATGAGCAGAGTTCCAGTTGAACTGAGTTTCTTAATACCAACTACTAGCCCATCCATGGCTACTGGTCACAAATTCAACCTGCACATTCAGATTCTGCATGGCACTGAATACCAACTGCTGGGACCAAGAACAGCAAAAATCTGCTGCCTTTGTGTCCTATTTATAGGCTTCCCAGAAACATCTGGCTGGAGAAGATGAAGCACTGATCTGATCCAACACGACTCTTGTGTTCTTCTATCCCTATCAGGAGCTGCTAGCTAGGTACCACAAAAGATAACTAGAGTTGGATAAAGACCTTCAGTGCATTGCATATACATTATTTCATCCATTATTCTAATGCTATAAGGCTGGTCAGTATTATTGCAATGTAAGGGGGGAAGGTAGTGGCACATTCTATCATATGTAGTGGACATGTAAGGTAGTAAAAGAATTTTGGGAAATGATATATAATGAATCCAGGGGAAAATGTTTAAAATAACTGTTTGTTAAAAAAAAGAACAAAAAAACCCCTGAAGCCTTTCTTTTAGGAATTCTAGGTTCCAAAATCCCAATGGAGCAGAAAATACTATTTATGTATGCGACCGCAGCTGTGCGGATGTGATTGGCCCAGAGATGAAAAGAGGACAAAGTCCTGACCAGAGAAGAATGACAGATTAAGTTGATGGATTATGCTGCAATGGCAAAAATGACTGGAAGAATCAGAAACCAGGAAGACCAAAACTTTAATAAGGAATGGGGGAAATTTATAATTTACCTTAAAAACCATTGTAAACAGTTGAAATTGTTAGTAAGATTGGAATAACACTTGTAGTTTAATGGTGGATTTTGGATATAATGAAGATGTAAAAGATTTGGAGTATTATAAAAGATGCAGGAGGAAACGATTAATAATAGGACCCACAAAGGAGGAGGGAAGTCCAGGAGAGTCTTTGGAATCTTGCTTTTACTTTCTATGTTGGATATGTGATTGTAAAATTCTAATTTGAAAAACCAAATAAATAAATTTATAAAAATAAAGAAGTGGCGATTTTTTAAAGCTAACAAGTCCATGACTGTAGTGAAATTTGGACTCCCCAGTTTACACTCTGAGCCATCATTCATTTACAACAGCTCCCTTAACTCTCCCCAATGTAGGCTCCGCTGCCACAGTCAGCTGCGGTCTCTGCTTTGCCAGCATCCTGTTATAGCACACCAGACCTGACTCTTTAGCGCAGTCCAGCCTTGGCTGCTTCTCTGAGTTAATAAGTCCGTTTGGCGTCAGCACCAGCTCCCTCAAGGGGTTTAATAAATTGAAAGCCTCCATGTGAAATGCAAGTCACGCCCATTATGTCAGTGGAATGTACTTCCAAGTGTATTTAGGATTATATCTCCAGCAGTTAAATCAAACATGGGCAGACTTTCTGGAAATAGGTGTAATGCTTCAAACCAACTTTGGAGCCACAATTATCTAAATGGCTTTTAACCAACAGTCTGCCAAAATTGCATCAACACAGAAGCACTTTCATCAGAGGGGATTATGCGTTGAATGATCTACTTGTCACATGGGGGGGTTTTCTGCCAGCGATACAACCCCAAAATAGCCCCCTGCCATTTTCTTGGAGAATTATGTATCGGAAAAGAAATGTCTCCACTTTATCCTAAAGTTTGCAGCTTGGGATGCAGGAGAAATCTGGTTTAGTTTGGATTTTAATGCAAACCTACCAAATGCTAGGACAATATGCAAACTGAAACACAGCTATCTTGCAAAATTTTGTGCTGCTCCAAATATTATGACACAGTTCTCCAACCAAATAATGCATACAACAATGTTTATATTGGAGGGGGGAATATAAAAATGCATACATTCGTGAAAGTAGCGCATAAGAATGCCATTATATTACAGGAAATTGCATGCAAAAAAAATGTGTAGTAAGCAAAATGACAAACCAAAATGTGTATATTGGGAGAAATTTGCACTATGATGCTTACAAGTTTTCATGAGGACTTTTAAAGAAATATTGCAAAGCCATGCAGAAACTGCAAGGAACCAAAAATTGACATATTCACCCGTCCCTGATTACAACACAGTGATATTGCTCATTTTGTAATGCTAAACCAGCCTTCCACCAAGCTACTGGCCTTCAGATGTTAAGGGCTACAACTCCCATAATCCTTGATTATTGACCACCCTACCTGAGACTGTAAATCCAAAAGTACTGGAGGGCACAAGGTTGGGAAAGCCTGCAGCGGACATTACTCTGGGAGGGAGTCCAGTGCTTTCAGCATCAGCCACACATCTCCCAGCATGCCTAGCTTTGGCCTCACTGTTGTGGTGATGGTTGCTTTTGTGGGTGCCCCTACAATGCTCAAGTCATAGACAAAGCTTCCATCCGCACGATCACAACAGATTGCCTGGTTATACACAACAGATTATTTGGGTATTTCGTGGCCTCATTTGTAGATCTCTTCACTTAACCCTAGTGCTCTGTATCTTGCGAATGCTGAGAAGACTGCAGCTCTTGGTATCAGGGCTGTAAGCCAAATGACCTCTTCCTCCTCCCTTTATAGTTCACTTAGTTTTAATCAACCACTTTGCAGCACCATATTCCCCAGGCTTCTTATCAATTTTGTTAGACTTTTAGTTAAAGGCCACCTCTCCTATGCAATTGATTTCCCCCCACCGGTCCTTGGCAAGGTTGTTTGGGGTTGATTTTTCACTGTATATATACAGCAAGTGATCGATTGCATTTAAATAAGGCAAAATTAATCTATATCTCTTGGTATGTATATTCATGGACTCCAAAGAGATCTTTCGCAGCTCGATTCATAGACTCTCTTTTTTTCATAAACGTTACATTTCAATGTAATTTTGTTCAGGGACTGGAGAAATTGTTAAATAAGACCTTCCAGAAAAGCTCCGTTAGTAGGGAGGTCTTGTAGTGAACTTAAATGGATGCTCACCACTCCAGATTCACATGAAGAAGCCAGTTTACATCTGATTTACCATGGGTCAATCAGGTATCACTGTTAACGTTGACTGGTGCCTTCTGTGCAGGCTCAACAGTGGTCGGTCAATGGTAGATATGCTGTCCATGTTCCTCTAATAATATTTGCTTCCATGGATATTGTTTGGCTGTTGACTTTGCTGCTGGTGCAATATATGATTGCTTTATATCACTGTTGGCCGTAGCAGAGTGACCACCAAGCAATCCAGGATCTTTGGATCGATGTGCCCAGTTACCACTCATTGTTACAAGAAAAGACCATCTTCCATATTTTTTTTCCCCTTTTCAATTTACTATGACGGTAGAACACCGGGAGCAAAATAGAATCAAAGCATAAACCGGAGTACCCCTATTTCCCAGCCCCACCAATTAATATTTGTCTTCGCAACTAAAACGAGTGTACATTTTTCAAGATAAATCATGGCAGATAAGAAGTTAAGGATGCTACGGTTTACAAAGTGGGTAAGCCAGTAATGCAAAAATAAATTAAAAAAATAAATCACAGACTGTTAGCAAAAAGGTAGCCTTGGCTAACAGGACAGGATCAGGAACCAGCATGAAGCAGAGATTCACCAGCTCTCCACCATCCAGCAAAGAAGAAAAAAAAGGGGGGACAATTCAGAGACATGAGTACTCTGTAAAATAAATAAATAAAGGTTAAACTGCAACCCTGGTTTAAATTAAGCTGGTTAAAAGCTATCGGCACCCAGTGCTTTTTTCTAGGGGGACGCAGGGGTACACTAACCCCTAAACGTTTTGTGAATCTAAGTTTGGCCTCTTTGAGGGGAAGTATTTCAATATGAGTAGGAAAATGAGAGTACCCCTAATTTTATTTTTTTTGTGGGGAGCACTGTTGGCACCAGTAGGATTTAAGCAGCCAGCGTACATATTGGCAGCTGAAACCTTGATTAATCTACTACTGTATAAACTGGGGAAATCCACCATCCCTGATTTCAGCTAATTAGAAAGTACATGGGGATCAAGACAGTGTGGGGCATTTGCTTTGGTGGATAAGAGAACTACAGAATGACAATTGGAAAGGCGGCACAAAATAGAAAATTTAAATGTTTGCATTACTATACAGATTAGCTGTGGTATTTTGAATTAGTGCATTTTCTAATCCAATCAGCTGATCTGCACAAATATGTTTTCCATCATACCAATATGATGTTACCCACTAAGAGGTTTTCTAACCATCAAACATGTGTGTGTGTGTGTGTGTGTGTGTGTAATAAATAAGATAAATAAATAACAGAGTACAAAACCCAATCTTACTAGTTAATTGGAAAACCATTTAAAATGCATCACCTAAGGCAGCAGCCCAAGACCCAGAACCAGCCCTGCGCAAAGAGGGTTTGGAGTACTCTGCCAGAAAACATTCTGTTTTAGTGATACTGACTCCAACATGAAATACTATCTCATGGGGAAGCATTTCTGATTAAAAACCAATTTTAAAGCTCTCATTTTTAATCCGTGGTTAATGAAATCATGGGCCCGCTGCCACAATTAATCAAATAATAGTAATCTGCATTAGGGATCGTATTTCAAGTAGCCCTGAGGGAAACTTTGCATCAGCAGAAGGATTTCTCTTTGCACAAGGGAATGTTCTCCCCCTCTCTTCCCCTCACATGCCCCCCTACAGCTGCTCTGTGGGAGGGTGCTGCACATGTGTGGGGTGGGGAGTGGGGAAAGTCCCATTGTGCAAGCAGAACTTGGTCCATTTCAAACATGGGTCCATCTAGCACAGTATTGTCTACATTGACCAGAATCGGCTCACCTGGGCTTCAGACAGAGGCCTCTTGTAGCCTTAGTCTGATATGGTGGAAACTAACATGGCACCTTCCGTATTCAAATCGGATGCTCTCCCTACTAAGACCCTAAGTAATAATAATAATAATAATAATTTATTATTTGTACCCCGCCCATCTGGCTGGGTTTCCCCAGCCACTCTGGGCGGCTTCCAACAAAGACCAAAAATACACTAAGATATCACACATCAAAAACTTCCCTGAACAGGGTTGCCTTCAGATGTCTTCTGAAAGTCAGGTAGTTGTTTATCTCTTTGACATCTGATGGGAGGGCATTCCACAGGGCAGGGGCCACTACCGAGAAGGCCCTCTGCCTGGTTGGCTGTAGCTTTGCTTCTCGCAATGAGGGAACCACCAGAAGGCCTCGGCGCTGGACCTCAGCATCCGAGCAGAACGATGGGGGTGAAGACACTCCTTCAGGTATACAGGACCGAAGCCGTTTAGGGCTTTCAAGGTCAACACCAACATTTTGAATTGTGCTCGGAAACGTACTGGGAGCCAATGTAGGTCTTTCAAGACCAGTGTTATGTGGTCTCGGCGACCGCCCCCAGTCACCAGTCTAGCTGCCGCATTCTGGATTAGTTGTAGTAGTACCAAAGTACCAAAGATTGCTGATGATCTTACAGCTGTTGCACTCCTGGATCTGCACACTGGAAGATGAAGGCACTAATGGTGTTCTTAGGGCCAAATTAGATGTGAGGATCCAGCCATATCCATATATCTGTTCAGCAGAAAGTGTATCTTTCATTTTTAAACATGTAATGGAAGATGCAGGTCCATTGATCCAAACATTATATATATACCGTATTTTTCGCTCTATAACACGCACCAGACCATAACACGCACGTAGTTTTTAGAGGAGGAAAACAAGAAAAAAAATATTCTAAACGAAATAGTGGATATATGATTTTTGTGGTTCATGCTGTGGCCACAGACATGTGATCTGACAGTGAGTTTGGAGTAGCCCAATGCAAAAATCCTGAGGATCCATGTGGATCCATGCTTTGTAACCACGGAGGAGGGAAGGAAGGGGAACCATGGATCCTCTGTTCACGACTGTAGCAGATCCCCCCCGCCACCCGCAGGCATTCGCTCCATAACATGCACAGACATTTCCCCTTACTTTCTAGGAGGAAAAAAGTGAGTGTTATGGTGCAAAAAATACGGTATATCTCATATATCATATATCATATATCTATATATATCATTAAAGATTTTTTGTGTTACAAAACAGATGGACAGGAAAAGGTACATTTATCATCTCCACTTTCAATTCATAGTTTCCCCTTATCTGTCCCCCCTCTCTTTTCTATAATTTTCATCATGTATACAAAGTTTATATATTAAAAGAAAAGAAAAGGGGGAAAGGGAAAAAACAAGGACAAAAAACTATTCCAAAATCATATATGTACCAACACTTTGGACTTCCTGTCTATCCCGTTGTATATTCCTTTTTTACAAATGAATGTACTCTTATTATTGTATATTTCTTTATATTTTATCTAATACATTCTCATATCAATATGTACCCTTGGTCTTATTTCTCAACTCAGTCTCTCTCCAACATCAATAGAATGCTAGCATAGATAGTGAACCTTTACTGTATTTTTGAACATATATCTTATATCTATCTCCCAAGACACTATTTCCAGTTTTGCGAAGTTTGTAAACCAAAGCGTTCTTAAACCGGACTGTTCTTAAACCGAGGTACCACTGTACTGGAGCAAGGCAGAGAAAATACAAAGCAACAGTGAGCATGAGGGAAGAAAGCAGAGGGGGCCCTCACTCGACTTGCCTGCAGGATCCACTTAATGTAAAGCATAGGCACACGCGCACGCACACACATACATACACACACACACACACACACCCCCCCACAACTCTCACTTGATACATGAATGAAGCAGACACAGGAATAAATGCACATGTGCCCATCACATCTACTTTGGTCCCTAACAGTTACTTAATGATTATCTAGGCTCTTAGGCTGCTATCTCCAAATCACTTAAGCTTGCTTAATCTTGACAATGGGACAAAAGTGGATCCTGTGAAGTATACTGCATTAAGAAGTCTGTATGATCGCTCTGTAAGGAGCTAACTCAAACTGATACTTCTTATCCCCCAGCAGCCATGTAAGTGAGGTGCACAGGACTGCAGTCTTAATTCTTAATTGATAGACTCCTCTTCCTAGGTTAGACAATCTGTAACATCCCATGAGTGTGGGGCTTCCATATAACAAAATCCCAGACAATGCTGTTTACAAGTTGCTTGCAAGCAGGCTCCTATTAGTTGTGCCTAGCGAATGCCATTGACAGCTAAAGGGAGAAAGAATGTATTCCTTTACCTGTGGAACGACATCTAGAGCTTTTGCGTTCTCCATCGCGTCTCCTTATTTCAGCAGTTTCCCACAAGAGTCCATTCTGTTGTTTATTTATGAAGAACACTTGCTTTTCCACAATACAGCTTTTCCCTTTTCCCACTATGCTTCTCAGAAGTTCTCGACCAGAACAATTATTAATTAATTGACCATTTCTTCCTCGTATGTGCTCATATCTCAACGAGAAAGGGAAGTTACCCAGGCGGTTTCTGGTAATTACCTCTGAAGGGAGGGGAGGACAAAGCTTGTTTGCTTTATTTCTGGTTTCCCTTTTCGTTACTTCCTTTTAGTGGATATATCAGAGACATAACCTAGTAATACACCCAGGTTTATTTGAAAGCAGTGTCTGTTGGTTGCTGGAGCAACATTTGAATAGGGAGAGCTGTAATCTATGGGGTTGCTCAGTTCTCCAAGCACAGGTACAGGTCTAGGAGCACTAACATCTTTAGTATATGCGCCGCCAGGGTGCAAAGATCCACCCAGTGCCCCCAAATTTAGTTTAGCTGCCCCCCAAGGTGTCAAAGGTGCTGCTGACCTCGCTGCCGCATAGCAGCTCAATACAATACGTAACATAATATTTTGATGTAAGAGTTAATTTTGCATGCACAGTGCCATTGAGAATGACAAGCACCACCAATGAGCCTGACAAACACCGCTGTTGTGAATGACAAGCGCCGCCGCTGGCACAGCACGTCTGGTAAATGAGTGCACAAAGTCGAAAGTCCTTTAGTAAAACAGTAGGTATACATTTCGGTAATACCTAGGTATATATGTATTTTGTTTTTCTAGCTTCATCAAAATTATTTATATTTCATAACAGGTAGATAGTTAAGAGTTTAGACGGCTTCAGCAGTGGGTGCCTGGCATGTTTCAGTTGTTTTCCAGCTGTGGAGAAGCCATGTAGCCCAGATCTTGACCTACACACCAGGGGAAGGCATGCATCTATTGTGAGTGGCTATCTTTTGCAGACTGAAAGCAAGAACAGCAATTACTGATCATATTCACTGGTCTGGCTTCTGTTTGGGACATGGGATGAGACCTGTATTTGTGGAGGCCTGATTTGTACAGTCACACACACACCCTTTCTTTAGGGGAAGAAGGACAAAGTCCTCCAGAAGTGGGCCTCTGAGTCTACCTGAAATACCTTCCTCCAATGTATATTATCATTTGATTGCAGAAACTATAATAACTTCATAAACTCTGACCCAGAGATGGAGAAACTTTAGAGAACACTTAATCCAGGCAGGTGAAACTCAAAGGCCCTAGGCATGTATAGAATACCATTCAATCAGTAGCAGCCGGTGGGGTGGCATGGCTTTCTTCCCAATGCGGAAGTCATTACTGGCAACAAAGAGGAGGAGGGAATGAGGAGTGGAGGTCAGTGTGGTGTGGACACAGTGGCAGAACCAACCCAATGCTCCTCCCACTGTGCCTGAACCACACCAACCTCCCTGCTGTCTCGCCCCTCTTTCTCATAGCAACTTCCACACTGGGAAGCCAGGTAAACAATGCTATTCCACCCCACCAACCACAACTGTATTCATACATTGTAGCCCTTTTCAGAAATCCCTTTTCAGATTCTCATTGTAGGACATCTCGGTGGAAATCTCCACCTTTTTTATTTTATTTATTTTGCTAATGAACTCTTGAAAAGAACTAAAATGCTTATCAACCTTGGGTTTTACAGACTGCTGTTTAGGGCCAGCGCTTCCATTAGGCAGAGGGAGGCAGAATCCTCAGGTGGATGATTTTGAGTGTCACAAAGGGACAGCAAATTGTTAATTATTTAGTCTATTTTCCTTTTCAACCAGGGAAAGGAAGAGGCTTGTGGGGTTTTCTGTTCCAGGTGCCAGAATAACTGAGTGAGGCTTTGGTATTGTACACCTTTCTGTTCTGCTTCAGGCAACTAAATGTTTTGGGACAGCCCCATCACTGTTGCAACAGGCTTCAGGGGATGGCTTCTGGCTTTTCGGGGAAACAGACAGCCAGGTAAGAAGGAACAGGGCTCGTGTTGTTAGAATACACAGCTCAGCCAGAAGGTCTGCTCACTACAACTAGAGCTGCCATTAAAAAATAAATAAAAACAAAAAAAATGTTTAGTATGTCTAGGCAAGTCCTAACCTGAGCACATGGTTTGCATGCAGAAATCCTCAGGATCATTGGCTAGCATCTCTGATTGAAAGGATCAGGTAGAAGGTGATGGGAAAGATTTTTTTGTTGGAGACCCTGGATTGCTAATACCAGAAAAAGCAGATAGTAGTAACTGCTAATTGAACTAACAATCTGAGTTGGTACAACAAACCCCCTTCCGATGTTGCTGCTGACAGGGGCGTCTTACCTATAGAGGCTAGTGGCGCAGGGCGCCTGGGCACCAAGTTCTGGATGGCGCCAGGGAAGAGGCGGAGGCTGGACACGGCACCTCCTGGCATCAGCTCACTGCCCACGCCCTCCTCTGCCATGCCGCGCCGCACCCAGAGCCTCCGCCTGCTGTGGCCACCATGGCACAAAGCGGCCAGGTAAGCCGGGAGCTGCCGCGTCCAGCCTGTCTCTTACCCGCTGGAGGAGCTGCCTTCCAGCCGCTGCCCACCTCCTCCAGGCCCACAAAGCTGGGCACGTCGCCGGCAGCACCATCCTCCCTAAAAAAGGTCGGCAACTCTGGGAAAGGGGGGGCACCAGAGCGATCTTCTCACCACTGTGCCAGATATGCTTAAGACAGCCCTGGCTGCTGACTTAAAAATGCATCATTCTAGGGGACTTCCGGGTTGGCGCCTCTGGCAATGGCGGATTTCCTCCGATCGGGAGGAATCCGCTCCGTGGAAAACAGGGTCTGAACCGCCACGGTGAGGCGGAGACCCATCAAAAACCACAGGCGGGAGAAGCCTGTGGACGTGGGATTCGGCTGGCACCTTTGCTCGCGGGGAAACCCTGTTTTGGGGATCCGGAGCGACGTGGGGTGAGTGGCGCGGTGCTTTGAATCGACTGCTTCTTTCACGGAGTGAAGCCGCATTGCTGTTGCCGGAGAGCGCTGACTTTTTCCTGTGGACAATTGGATTTTAAACAACTGCCCATGAGTAGAACAGAAAATTGGACTATGAAATTTCTTAATTAGGCACTGAAAGCGGGAAGGTCTAAACAGGAAGTCCGCCTTCCGCTTTTGTAGATAGATTGAAGCAAAGACACGGCAAGCTAGAGTTTAGAAAGTCATTTGTAAAGGACTAAATTTTCATCATTTAAAATTACTGAACCCCCCTTGGAAGCAGGAGAAGAGGGGGGAACCTTTTTTAGACTGTTTAAACCTGCAGAAGAGAGAGTAAAGAAAGGTAATTTTCCACCGTCTTGAACCTGGGAGCGGGGTGTCAAGACAGACGTTTTGGAGAAGTTCATTGACTATGGACAAACGTTTTTGACAGATAGTTAAAAGAAGAGAAACATATTGATTCCATTGTTCCCTTCGCATTTAAAAGGAACAAAATATCGACAAAATATCCGAAAAAGGAAAACTTTGTTGCTAGATCTGCTTTAAAAAAAAAAATGGATACAAATAGAAATTGTTTCCCTTAGAGGGAGCTTGTGAAACTGTTATTAAAGTCGAACTGGGGAGCTTTGCAGCTGTAAAGATTAAAGATCGTGGGACCAGACTTCGACCTTGAACAAGAATGTGCTCAGAGGCTCTGGTTCTTGCCTTTTGCAAGACAAGTGCTTTATTGGAACAGTTACATGAGAAGATGGATTTGATGACTGTTGTGATCGGAAATTTTGGACAGGCAGTGGGTACTTATATAGAACCCACTCAGGAATTAATCCAGGAATGTGCTTTGACAGATGAGATGAGGGAGCAGGTTGTTGCTGGACCTCGGGTGGCAGAGATGGAGGGAGCTGTGGCCCAGCAGGAACATGAGTTGTTGGATTTGGCGAATGAACCTGGAAAAAGTCAGATTTGGAGAGATGGAGTTCTGTTTGGTTTGGAGATGGGGGGCTGGATGGACCCCCCTATGCAGGGATGTTTCACCTTTCAAGTCTGGCTTTAGGCCGGGGGGAGCTCAGAGTTGTGGGGGCCCCTAACTTTGGAGGGACCTTGAAACATGCCTTTAAATACCACATGGATTTCAGTGTTGACTATGGAAAAGGGGCTGACTTGTCGAGAAGGGACAAAAATATTGTCAAGCTGAAGTCTCCCCAAGCGAAAGGAGCAGAAGACAAAGTAAAGTACAGGTATAAACATGAAGAAGAACTGCGGAAGGGACATGGAAAAGACTTAAGAGCCTCGGATATAAGGTCACCAGGTTGATGGACTAGATGGATGGGATAGAAAGGACTGACAAAACCCGAGACCAGGAAGAAGAGACGATGGATGAAGATTGGAAGAAAGTTTTAAAAATTTATTTAGAAAAGTATTGTAAAATTAATGAGTATTAGTAAAACATTGGAATGAAATTATTTGGCTTTAGCAGAAATGTTAAAAAGAATTATGTAAGAATATGTTATGGTTAAAAGAATTCGGTATAAATAAGATTTAAGTTTTAAGTTTTAGGGTTTTTTATGGTAAGATAAGGTTAAATATTGTGAAAGATGGAAAGGATTTGCTGAGATAATTAACAACTAGAATACAAAAAAGGGAGGTGTGAGGAGGTCGATGAAATAAGTTAATGAAAGTTACGGATTTGGGAATATTGGATTTGTTTTTAAATTTTTTGTTTATTTTTGCTTTTTGATTGTGATGCATTGTGTGTTTTGTTTTTTCTTTTTGATTTTGGTTTTCCCTGATTTGTATTGTTTAATTGTTACTTTTATTTACTTTTTTCTTTCTTTTTCTCTTTTTCTTGTTTTTTCCTTCTCTTTTCTTTGTAACTTTAAAATACTCAATAAATATCATTTTTTTAAAAAATGCATCATTCTAATAATGAATATATAGATATACTACAGGGTAAGGTGACTCTCCCTTTAGAATTAAGCTTCAAACATGGAATCATATAATTCCATGTTGGAAGGGACCCAGGGGCCATCTAGTCCAACCCCCTGCAATGCAGGAATCTCAACTAAAACATCTGTGACAGATGGTCATTCAATCCTTGCTTTAAAATCTCCAGCGTAGGGAAGTCCACCACCTTTTGAGGGAGTCTGTTTCGTTGTCAAACAGCTCTTACTGTCAGAAAGTTCTTCCTAATGCTTTGTCTCCATCTCCTTTCTTGTAACTTGAATCCATTGGTTCA